TTTACTAACAGCTGCACTGTGAAGTTGAGCTGCTATATTTTGTCAAGCGGTTGGGTTTCAAAAAAAGCGTTTGAACCATGTACTGTCTGTTTTATATCAATTTTCTTCCTGTAAGGTAACAAATTTATAGTCAAAAATAATAAATGCTTATCTACCTTTTCAACTCTTTCAAACACACTTACTTTATTTTGATTTTCAGTTGAATGGATTCCAGCAATTTACAAAGATATATCAAATGTGAAATGAATATAAATAACATACTTCTGTCTGGATCTTGCACTGCGATCTGTGCGATTGCTGTCTGAACTGGACAGAGAAGTTGTGTCCCCTGAATCCTTAAATGCCTGGACTGCGGAGATAACTGAAGATGTGTCATCTTCCACTGGGGAATCGTAGTCTTCAGTCTGTATTTGAGTTTTGTTTAAAGACAGGGTATTAACGAAATGACAGTTTACTCACAATTATATTCAGATAAATTGGTTAGAATAAACCTAATATGATCTCAGTTCACATTTATAATTTATTTATTAACTGCCTCAAAAAAAATAAATAATTATCGTCGAAGGTCGATAAAACTGTTACCTCATTGAGAATACTTTCTAGTGTGGGGTTTTCCACAGTTGGCAAATCAGACTTAAATTCTTCATCATCAAACTGAAAGATAAAAAAGACATCAAGACATATTACACAAATTTTGCCATACATGTACCCTTAAGGAGAATCTGATGACAACACCCCCTTTTCATAAAATTATTTGATTCCCAAACCATTTCTTTTTTACGGATTTTATCAAAATAAAAGAAACATCTATACATATTTTGTGTTAAACAATGTAAATGTTAAACATAGTGGTACAATACATACCTCTATTTCAAAATTTAACAGGCTGTTTGTATTTGGCGTTTCCTCTGTCATAACTGATGAAGAACCTGAGCAGAAGTACCTCGATCCCGATGTATTTTCTTTTAGTTTTTTTTCCAACTTTAACTAAAAAAATCTTTATTTTTGTCTAAAATTCTAATAAAACATAAAAGACTTATTATATAACATTTGATGAACAGAAACATATAAAACCATATATGTCTCTAATAAAAGTAACAAATGTATATTTTTATCAACTCGGGCTTGATATTACAAAATAGCGTCCGCCTAGTTTCATTTTGGGCTTGAGTAAGTAACGCTATCTTATAATCTTAGATGTTTTACGAAATAAAAGGTTAGAAACAAAGTTTTAATGTGTCTTTTGAAAAAAGAAATGATTAAAGCATACTTGACTTCTATCACATGTATTCTTTGCATTGTAGAAAACCCACAATACACGAGAAAGCAAGGAACAGCATGCAACAAGCAGTAAGTTTCTAGAGTGAACAATAGAACTAGCCAAACGATATGAAAATAGCTTGATTGGTCTTGAATATTTGTGGATTATGTAGGATCAGCCCACACTATGGGTAGACGATTAACTGCAGAAAGTGAGAATGCCTTTCTCATTCTTTTAATCTTGGATTGTGGTTGAATTCTGATGGAACTTTGTTAGTAGGAAACTAAAGAATATTTGTCTTCAATATGGAGGAAAAAATCATGGATGAAAACGATGAAGATCATGTTTACATTTTAAGCCTTCTTCAAAGTATGAAATCCCCAAACAGATTCACTAATGATAGCGGGACAACTGGAAATTCAACAAATATCAGTTCAAATAGTTCAGCGGTCGTGGATGATGATTCAAATACAAGTGAAAGTTTTTCCCCTTCATCAAGGAGAGAATCTCCTGATGAAGATTTGATGGACAACTTCAACAAGATGAAGACAGGACATAAGTTAGATGATTACATTTTGGACATCCTAAAAAGTGAAAAATGCAAGAAAAAACTCCACTTTGAAAGTCAAAAAACTTCAACATGTTCAACCAATTCATTTCTTGTTTCCGAGTCTTCAATGGATTTGGATGAACGTACAGCAAACCCAGATTCATTGGAAGTATCTGATGTTTTAAATAAGCATGGCTTACCAAGTCATAAACTGGATGATGTTTTACATGTTGCTTTGAAAATTGTGAAGCCATTGAATATGAAGATAAAAAAGGTGCAACATTCTGAAGAGAAAAAGCCAGCCACTTCAATCTCTAGTGAGAAAGGAATTAATAAATCAACCTTAGTGTATACTTGTCATATGTGTAACTTTAGTTTTAACTCCAAAGACAACAAGAATAGACACATGGCAAGTAAGCACAGTAAAAGGTTGTCCATCAGAGGAAATGGTAAACTGAGAAAAAATGCTAGTATAACACATAACTATGCTTTAGATACATATGAGAATTTATGTGATTTAGACAAGTTAGGAAAATATAAGACCTCTATTATGCAATCAGATACTACTGACCATTACGATGAACATTCCCAAAACATTTTAAAAGACTACCATGCAGAAAATGGAAACAAAGCCTACACAGTATTGAAAATGAACAAAATGTCAACCGAAACTGAAGAATCACACCCAGAGGCAGCAGATGATGATTCTAGAGACTCTTTTGATGATGAAAGTACAAGTGATTCATATTCATGCAGAAGAGTTGAAATAAACAGTGAACTCAGAAAATATGATCTAAAACAGTGTTGCAGGACTAGGACCTTCTCAGAAAATATGAAGTTATTGAATAAGCATGCTGAGAAATCTAAAGAGAATAATCAAGGAAGAGAGATTATATGTCAAAACAACACAGAGTCTTCAAGCAGCTTGCCTTGTCAGGAAACAGTCATAGAAACAGAAGCCAAATTTCTGCCAGAATCAACAATTAACACTGAAAAAAGCTTGTCATCTGAAGGTTTATATCCTATTGGTCTTGATGAAGTGTCATCATTATCTTTTTCTTCAAAACAATGTTCATCATCTAAATCATCAGCATCAAATCATCTGATTCCACCTGTGTATCCACAGCAACCAGATCCTCCTGTGTCTCCACAGCAACCAGAAATAACAAAACCAGGTGCTTTGTTGAGGGAAAAGCACTGGATTATCCTTGATGCATCCAACAATTTTAACGGACCCTTCTACAGTGATATGGGAAACCATCAAGGCATTCACACCAAAAGTGAGGATATAGTTGGAATTAAATCCATAGATGATTCTAGCAAAAATATATCCTTATTTCAGAGTTGTGTGCCAATTTCAAGAGATTCTCTTGATGATTTTTCAAATCTGAGCAGCAGTTGTTCAACTAGAAGTGCTAATGAGTGCATGGAAATTAACAGTGACACTATTCACCCCACTACCTTTAAGGAAATTGGTCCTAAAGATGAGTATACCTCACAAGAACAAGGATCTGGAAATGTCATTGAAAAGTTTTGTTGTGCTAGACACTTAACCTTTTTGGATTATCTTTCCAACTACCATCCGTTCAAAAGATTGACTTTCAAAACTGAAAACTCGTCATGTGATGCTTCTGCTTTTTCACCACACAACTCCAATACTTCTGGTGTGCTTAACAATAGATCTGTTCCTTCTCGAGACTATATTCTGTCACCACCAAAGAAGCGGTGGAAGAGTTATTTAGAGGGAGATTAGGGACATTGCTTTTAATGAAGTTTTATTTATGTTTTGAATGAGAGTTGCCATTGAAAATATCTTGTTTTATTTTTCATTTTATTCATAAAAACTGCATGATAAAGAAGCATCTTTAACTTGAACTTTCTTTTTATCTATATAAAAGGTTAACCATTGGCTGTGACTTACAAGATACACACTGCACAAGTTCAGTTTTTGAATTCATAGAGGCTGACTTTATAGTCAGTTCTCTCATTGTATCCCCCTATTTAGCTACTGCCTTCCTCTCATGCATGTTGAGGCTGTATCGTGTTCGATTACCCTCACAAATTCAGGGGGTCCCATGTCCACTCACGACTCTTGGATGTAAGGCCATGAGTGGACTGATGACTCCTGATTTTGTGAGGATGGTCTGTTGTGCAAATCTTCTTGGGAGTTTTGTTTACTTCATGATTCTCCAAGCTGGCATTGCCAATTGATAGGTATATAAATTTAAAACATTGGGGGTAACAGCAAACAAAATCATGTTAGCAAAATCTATTAAAAACACAAAATACTTTAGATGATGTCTGTAAAATTTTACTCAAAAATATCCTCATATATTGCAATAAAATGTTCTGTTGAGAAATACATGTACAAATATATCACAGATAATGGATGGGGGGGGAGGATTTTTTTTCAGTCAAATTTTAGGAACAAGCATGTCTGTTCCTATCAGATGACATCATAAAAAGAGTTAAGGAGACCACAAAAAATTATATGCAAAATAAAAAGACACAATTTACTGTTAACCACTGAGTAATGAACTGCACACTGGAGAGAAAGAGAGGGACAGTTTCTCCATGAGAGGGACAGTTTCTCCATTCTTTTAAAACACTATATATCTATTCCATATTGCATGATCAGTGCCATCACACAGTATATATGTGAAAGAAAGTAGAATATTTCAAGATTTTTTTTGAAAGTATACATGTATGTATTAAAACAATAAAACCTGGACCTTGCACTCAAGAAATTATGCAATACAAATTTAAGTAAAAATCTATCAAAATAGATTTTTGAAAACATAACAAAACCCACAATATGATAGACTTTCATATGTTGTTGAGACATTAATTTAAAGTATTTATAGGAATACATGTATATACATGTAATACATGTAAAGTGACACCACAGAAAGGAAGTATTTGAGAAAAAAGATTTCAAAAATATATAATCTTTCAAATATTATATACTAAAATTCAATGAAGGATTGTATTTGTACAGTTCTGTTCATATGAAATGCAAAGTCATTCATTGTAAATAAAAACAAAATCAAAACAATAAATTTCATAACAACTTAATTTTGTTCCAATTTCAGACATAAACCAATTAAGAGAATTTTTAGATTTTGAAAAGATATTAAACATAAATGACAAGAAAAAGATGTTTACACATGATTCGATCTACATCATTTAATTTTCACAATTTTGAATCGAGTATTTATTCCAAAAAAAAGTTGAGATCTTAACATAATTAAATCATTTAATCTTCATATTTTTTTTATTTCTCAGTTTCTGTAAATTTCGACAAATTTGATTCAAAGACATACTTTAAAAAAATGCCCAGCGATCCCCATTGTCTTTGGTTTTCACATTTTAACATTCAGCATATGAAGTGTGTAATAATCTAACATGTGACAAACATAACCATGAGAATATTCTTTAGTAGTCAACACAAATAAATCTGGTCTGTTGTATTAGTTTTTGCCTACAATGGCCATCAGAATTTTCTTGTAGTCCCCGGAGCAGTCCTGATCAATCCAGTTATACAGTGTCTGCTTGGTCATCTCCAGGAAGCTGTCCTTGATCTGGACCATGTCAATCTACCGAGACAACCAATTAAATGAGAGCATGATATATAAAAAATACATATATAGAATAAAGCCCATAGATATATACTCAGAATCAAAGCAAACAGAGGACTGAGGAGACATAATTCTATGGACACACAGGTACAGCACAATATCTGTGTTGTTATTGAGCTTTGTTTGTAATGTAAATCTAGCCTTTTTTTAAAATACCATATAATACCAATCACAGGTATTTCAAATTTTATTTTTGAGAATGCCTGTGATAATTGGTAAATCTGATTTTTTAATCCCTAAAATATCTTGTTCTGTGACTTGCAATCTTTAACTACTATATATAAATTCATTTATACAGCCAAACTTTAGCTTTGATTACAGATTTTAGAGAGATTTACCTCAGATCTGCTTGTAATGACACGGATAAGGTCTGAGTCATGTGTTCCAAGTCCCTTCATTGTCCACACGAGGCGTTCAGCAAAGTACTTTGGACGGCACTTCAGAGCCATCACTGTCAATCAAAAAAATCAAACTTTAATATACATCTTAACTTATTCTCCTGATTATGGAGAATGCATGCATGTGCTTGCATTACATTGAAAAATAAATGGTAACTGTCATACTAATGCAAAATAAAAATCTTGGGAAACTGAAAAATGATTCCCTACTAAATGTATCACTCACCCATTGTTAGAAGTCCTTTTCCAAAGTTTCCTGAAGTCTCTCTATCAATAGTGTTCTCTACATCTCTTTGAGTCAGCTGGCAAAGTAGAGCAATAGTTACTGATTAGATAAAAGTATTGCTCTGACAGGTGCATTGGGTTATTTCACCCCCCCCCCCCCCTTTGGGGGGGGGGGGGGTGTTATGGCCATTTAACATTTGTCAACAATTTTGCCCTTTTTAAATTTAGCCATTACACCATATCGCCCATTTTTTTAAAGTTCACCCATTTGCATAAATTGCAGGGACAAATCGTCAAAAAAAAATGAAATTTGGGTTCAAAATGATTACAATATATTTGGTTTACAATTTCAGTTTAACAACCAAATTGAAAGTGAGCTTATGTGGCTATCATTTCAATGAACAGAATACCCATTCAAAATTTTTCTTTTTTTTTTATGAACAGTCAGTTAATCCCTTGAGGAAATTACCTTAACATATTCATCATATGTGGCCCTGGACTGGTAAACCTCTGGAACTGCAAAGATTCGGATCATCTCCTCCTCATTGGTGCCAAGCTGATCTTCAGTAACCTCAAACAGTTTCTGGGCATCCCGCTTGGCTTTGCCCATATTTACTAGCTTCTCCATGTTGATGACGAACTGCCCAGTTGGTCTGTCTTCAAAAGTGACAGGTTCCACGGCTTCTTCTAATGTATCTGGGTCAAGCTCTCGTCGGCCACCCTGAAAGATAGTATTTGAAATAAACAACCTTCTTGGTAGAATTTTTTGTCATTTTCAAAAAAAATTACTGTAAAATCACTAATTTTCATGGGGGTTTAATTTTCGTTGTTTTCAAGTTATGGAGGGACCCAAGAATTTATGACCACTATGAAATGGAAAATTGCATATCCATTTACTACTTAACATTGTCCAAAAACGAAATCAAATTCCCGCAAAATAGAATTTTTTCCCCAAACCTCAAAAATTTGACCCCATGAAAAAATGTCATTTCACAGTATATTCTTTTATTTATTATCCCTTTTAATCCAAAGTTTTAATTAAAGTTGTAATAGGGTTTAAAAAAAACATCTTACTATGAATACTATAAAGGACTTCCTAAATTTTAAACTTTGATACCTGACAAGCAGATATGAGGAACTGTTTGAAATCACCACTTGTGTCATCTTCAATGTCCTGTTCTATTAGAGTCTCCCCTTCCTTTCTGTTTGGGCTTGCAACTAGAAACAAAAACAATCTTAAAAATTAGATATACAGGGTATTCAATCAAGATGAGAGTGTATCTTTCTGGTAGAAAAGTTAAACTTTAACCCCCATTTTCTTTTACATCTCTGAGAAAAAAGGGATATTCATTCCCTCTGGCACAAGCAGCACCATTGAGTAAAGGGACGACCCTCAACCAAGGTCATTTGAACAAGGTTAGTTAATGGGATTTCTTCAGATCCATTTAAGTCATCTAAGTCAGTGGATCAAAGGGTCTGAATTTAAGCAGACTGACAGTAAAAATATTCTGTACTTGGTAAAAGAAATCTGCAAAGCCCAAAGTAATCTTTTCCATCTAGCTAAAAGTTGATTTACTGTATTGTATGACTGCATGATAAAAAAATTCTGCATTAAATGAACAAATATTACCATCAGCATAAACTTCTCTGATTGCTTTTATCTGCTTTGGAGTTCTAGTACCAAAAATCTCAATAAGAACAGATTCGTCTGTTCCAAGGCCCTGCAATTTAAAAGAAGAAAATTGAAGATATTTTCAGTTATTGGAGAAACAATTTTTCATAAACCATAATGTGTATCAAAATTTTTTTTGTTAAACTTACATAATGGCTTCTTTGATACAATAGGCACCATAATACCATAATGTGTATCAATCTTTCTTTTTTTTTTGTTTAATTCTTTAATACAATAGGCACCATAATACCATAATGTGTATCAAATTTTTTTTGGTTAAACTTACATAAATGGCTTCTTTGATACAGTAGGCATCGTAAATATGAGGGGGTACAAACAGAGACATCACAGCACTCTTAAAATCTCCACTCAGCTCTGATTCCAGTTCCTCAATCAGGTCCTAACAAAATATAATGGAGAAGTGTTTAAGCTAGGGTATCAAATATTTCCTTTCACATGTATGATAAATTATCCCTGCATTTCATGCCAGTTTTTTTTTAATCTGCCTGCATGTAAGTACTCTAAAGATACAATGATTTGTGATAGCATTTGGCCCTATTTAAATGAAATTTTAAAGAATTGCTAATTCTGCATTTCTCATACATATGTATTTAAGATGTATTTTTAAAAAAGAATTATTATATGCATACAAAATGTTTACTTCCTTTCCAATATATCTGTACTATAGATAATAGCTATAACATAAACTGCATGTATTAGGAGGAATAGTATATTGACTCATTTTCTTATTTTCCTCATATTTATTTCTCACCAAGGTCCCTCTGAATGTCAACTTAGTGTAGAACAAATTATGAGTTAAATAAAATGTATAAGTGTATCAATATAAATTGCAAATTTCTGTTGTAACATACCTTTCCATAAGCTGTCTTAAACATCTGCTTGATTTCTTGCCTCTGTGCATTAGTACGATTTGCTATCACATGAATAATGGCCTCTTCATTTGTGCCTTGAAAGGGAGAATTTTAAAAAATGTACATATTTTGTAAGCAGATTTTTTTTCACAAGAATTCAACTTTGGCATTATAAGCAAGGGTTTGAGATCACTAAAATTAATCAGAAGGTCTCTACAAATGGAAGCAAACGGAATATCAGTATAAGCCTTTATAATGATATACTAAATGTTCTCATAGCCTTTGGCTCTCTTCCTTCAATTAAATTAAGGGATTTTTGCCTCCGCAAATAAAACATTTTTTACAGTAAATATTATTTCACTAACCACAACCATCCATGGCTTCCTTCAGAAATATACTGTCCATTTCTGGATCCCATTTTTCCCCAGCAAGTTCTGTTCCATCAAACTCCTTCATAAAATTTACCATGGGGTCATCCTCTGGATACCTGGAATGTAAAGTTGAAGCATTGGTTATAATCTGTAGGAATCACTCACTCATTGACATTGAAAGTAAATACTCAATGAGCAGTTAGGAAAGAACTTAGGCAAGGGAGATACTTTGAAAAGTATGAAAATATTACTCCATAGGAATTAAAAACTAATTAGACTTAAAAAAAAGTATTAACCAAAACTTGCAGGTTTCACAAAAAAACGTTCCTACTTGACTAGAGCTTTGACTGTAACCCACTGTAACCCACTTGACAAGAGCTTTGACTGTAACCTACTTGAAGAGAGCTTTGACTGTAACCCACTAATTGATGAACCTACTTGAAGAGAGCTTTGACTGACTATAACCTACTTTACAAGAGCTTTGACTGTAACCTACTTGAAGAGAGCTTTGACTATAACCTAATTGACGAGAGCTTTGACTGTAACCTACTTGAAGAGAGCTTTGACTGTAACCTAATTGAAGAGAGTTACTTTGACTGTAACCTGCTTGAATTTGACTGTAACCTACTTGAGCTTTGACTGTAACCTACTTAACAAGAGCTTTGACTGTAACCTACTTAACAAGAGCTTTGACTATAACCTACTTGGTGAGAGCTTTGACTGTCCCCTCAGTGGGTTCTAGAGTTCCATCCATGTCCAGATGGCGCTTTAAGTTGGCAATGTAGTTCATCTTCAGTCTCTGCATAAAATCTTCATCTTCCTCCATCTTCTGTGCTAACAGTTCTTCTATTTTCTGCAAAGTATAACATATTTCAGAAACTTCCTTCTTTAGAAACACTGGAATAAAATTATTTACAATATTAACAAGAGGCCCAGGGGCCACATCGCTCACCTGAGTAACTGGCTAGGAAAAAGCACATATCAGATCAGAACTGAAAGTTTACTGGGGGGGGGGGGGGGGGGGGGGGCTTGAATTTTAACACCCATGGGGTCATGATTTTAACAAACTAGAATCTACACTACCTGAGGATGATTCCCTATAAATATCACTAAGCATGGCTTTGAAGTACTTGACAAAAAGATTTTAAAAGGTTTCCCTATATATTCCTATGTAAAACTTGGGTCGGCCATTTTGGCCCCACCCTTGCCCCGGGGGTTATGATTTGAACAAACTTGAATCTACACTACCTGAGGATGATTCCACATGAGTTTCATCTTTCCTGGCCCAGTGGTTCTGGAGAAGAAGATTTTTAAAGATTTTTCCTATATATTCCGGATATAGCGAAGTCATCTTGGATCCCCAGCTATATATTTAATGAATTTCTTATACGGTTATAACGAATTACGGATATAGCGAAGTAATTTCATAGGTCCCAGTGACTTTGTTATAACCAAGTTTTACTGTATATTCCTATGTAAAACTTTGATCGGCCATTTTGGCCCCACCCTACGCCTGGGGGTCATGATTTGAACAAAATTGAATCTACACTACCTGAGGATGATTCCACATGAGTTTCATTTTTCCTGGCCCAGTGGTTTTTGAGAAGAAGATTTTTAAAGATTTTTCCTATATATTCCTATGTAAAACTTTGATCGGCCATTTTGGCCCCACCCTACCCCCGGGGGTCATGATTTGAATAAACTTGAATCTACACTACCTGAGGATGATTCCACAAAAGTTTCATCTTTCCTGGCCCAGTGGTTCTTGAGAAGCAGATTTTTTAAAAATGCCATTAATTTCTCTCTAATTCATGATTATCTCCCCTTGGAAAAGGGTGTGGCCCTTCATTTGAACAAACTTGAATCCCCTTCACCCAAGGATACTTTGTGGCAGGTTTGGTTGAAATTGGCCCAGTGGTTCTTGAGGAGAAGTTGAAAATGTGAAAAGTTTTACGATGACGACGATGACAACGACAGACAACGGACAAATTTTGATCAGAAAAGCTCACTTGAGCCTTCGGCTCAGGTAAGTTAAAACTGAATGAAATTAAAGTATCAGAATAGCTAAGATGGACCAATATTCTGATTTCTTTAATACAATGAAGTCCAGGTATAATGTGACACTAAGAACATTAGTATAGAACCAGTTTAAGTAGATCTAAATAAGGTATTCTTTGCACATTTTTAACGTGAATAGTCAACAGATTTTTCTGCTTGCCTAATCATGACAAGGAGCACACAGCGGATGTGACCTGTCAACAGGGGATGCTTACTCCTCCATGGCACCTGATCCAATCTCTTCTGTTTTCAGAGGTCTGTGTTTGCTCTGCTCCCAATTTGCATTGCTTAAATGGACCTTTGAGCTTGATTGCTATTTGTTAACTCCGTATTTTATTTAGCACTTTAGTTTTACGAGTGTCTTGTTTAACTTTCCCTTTACCTTTTGTTTTTTGGCCTTCTTCTTGTTCTTCCTCCTGTTGACTTTAATCTCTTCCTCCAATTCCTCGTCCTCCTCCTCCTCTTCTTCCTCCTCTTCCTCCTCCTCAGCCTGCTGTACCAGCTCCTCCATCTCACTTCCTCCCAGTGTCTGGGCCTATATTTAATTAATGTATATGTGATGTCAATTACAACTGAAGATACCGTACTAAAAAAAGTTTCAATTGATTGGTTTGTGTTAAAAATCAAATATATATAAGGTTATCACACCGTTTCAATTATTTTGAGAAGAGGAAGGAATCAGGGTCATCCCTAAGAATTAAAGGGGATATTAAAAAAGCCTTGTAGAAAGGGATATGGGGTTCTCCCTCTTAAAGGAGGTTAAGGGGAATACAAGAAACATTCCAAGCCCAAGGGTCTTAGGGAAAATCCTGTAAGAACCTTATATGAATAGCCTTTTGGTAGAGAGGGAACAGATTTAGTGAGACAATTAATGGACTAATGTGAAAACAAAAAAAGAGAGCTTGAGTGCTGTTACTACATTTGTCGATCTCATCCTTAAGCAATCAAACTAGTTTTCATTAAATAGAGTGTTAACTTTAGATATGTATAGCAACCCCTTGCAATTGTTCTGACAAAAGTAGGTTAAAAATTAATCGATTGCAAGCCCTATTAAAAATATAACTATAAACATTGAACAAAAATCTTCTACTTCTTTATTTAATTAGACAGATGACTTACTGCAGCATTCATGAATGCTTGGTTCTGGTTCCACACGTTATTGTTGATGACGACGGTTTGGGCAGACGGGGGCATCTGATGCATCGCTGGCATTCCCATCTGTCAAAAACAGTGATCTGGGTTATCATTCTGTCATTTTGATTTGATGCAGAATGATATATGATGTCATTATGATGTCATGCTAATGCATTTTTGTTAAAAACGGTTACATTAACTTATATATTTGAGAACTCCACAGGAACAGTTCATGAATATTACATTAGACTGCTATTTCTTTGTGTATCTAAAAGGAAATACTGTAATAATTATTATGTTGAATTCAAATACATGTAACTTAATTATTAAGTTGAAATATAAGAATTTCAGGAAAGATTATGGGCATCACCAAGTTCCCACAGAAGTTTTAGAAGAGTATTTTTCCATTTCTGCAGTTTTAAACATTATCACAATATAATACAACCAGAATCCTTTAACAAATATCTTTATTTTCTTTTTTTATCTAAACCATGAAATTGAATTAAATATCATATTTGTAAACTGTGTATGTGTACAGTCATGCTTATTAGAAAAAAAGTATATATACTGGGGTACACAGAAAAACTCAAACATCAAATTGTGAGTGCATTTTTGCAGTTTAAAGATGTCTGTAAAATGTATACTCAGTAAATGAAAACACAAAATACAAAGAATAGGTTTTTAAGTTTGTGTCAATGTTATTGGTGTACATAAAATCACACATGGACTTGACATGTATAAACTTATATCATTCACTGCTTCTTCAGGCAATAATATGTATATATCTGACATTCTTCATCTAATGATTTCAGTTTCTTTCATATTATTAGTTATGATTGTAACTCAACCCCCAACCCCCTTCTCTATCTCTCTCTCAATAATCCTGTCAGATGTGTTGGTTGGGAATTAAACAACTTTTAATCATTTTTTCATCAATAAAATTTATGTTACTTTTGGTCAAGATTGGTTGAAGTTTGTTCAATGTGCTGTACTTCAAAAAAGATGAAAGTATAAAAAGTTAACTAAACACAGATAACAGAAAACAGACAGATACAAAAACACAAATGTTAAAAAAATAGAGAATATAGTTAAAAGTAAAAAAAAAATAGATTGAAAAACACAACACATATACACTTGTATTTTGTCTAAAGCAATGAGGTAACCCATATATAACCCTATTTTTTTTAGGAAAAGAAAAATTAAGAGAAATAGATTTCAAGTTTCTATACAATGTAGTCCTCTTACCTGCATATTAATTTGCTGAAGGATTAAATAAAATATTGTTAAACACATTACTTCAATTGTATCATTAACATACCGTAATTATGTATAACTAGCATACTGCAATTGGTAAAATACTACAGCTGAGAAAAAACCCTAAACTTTGTGGATTTACCTTTCTTTAAAAGTATTAGAAAGACACTTATGTTCAAAGCAGTTTTTAAGAAAATTTGAAAGTTGATTTAATAAATGAAATGCTGTAAATGTTCCAGAAGATGAATGAAATTGTTCTACTACAAAATTTCTGAGATTAACTTTTCCATTATGAATGTAGATTGTGTGTAACATACAGGTGTTTGCTACCAATGGCAAAACAAAGCAGAAAGCAGAAAATATCCTTACATGGTATTTAACTTCCCTCTCTATCCCCCCTTCCCCTGAAACTGAATTCTAATATCACTATGTACTAACCATGTGATGCAATATCAGCAATTAATTGCGTTGACCCTGAGGTCCATGCAGTAAATATATAAACGAGGTTAAACCGGATGCCCTCGGCATACGCCAGGCTACGCATGCGCGAGAATGCTAGAGAGTTCCAATTGGCAATGCTCGGCTTATTCCGCTACACCAATCGGCTTTTCCGATTAGCTTTACGACCTCTGACGGAAAGACCCGAGATGATGCGATTGAGAGTTCATTGATGGATTCCAAATTTCTAATGTATACACATAACTAAACATTCATTCTATGGCACAAGCATTCTAAAAAGTAGGAAGAACTTGCAGTACATGTATATATTATATAAGACAACTTAACAACTTGAATTTAAAACTTCATTCAACGACGGGTTCTAGGTTTTAAAAGATAGAACAAGTCTCCAACAGCATTAGTTTTGTGCATCAAGGCTCGCAAAATAATCTGATATACAGGAATCCAAATACAGTTTGATACAAGTCTGTAGCAACAGTTTTCCATGTGATGGATGGGAGAAAACAAAAAACAGAAAACAAAATCTGCGTACAATAGAGCTGTGCTACACGTGTACCATCAGATCTAATTTTCCAATGATAGATCTCTTCTGAATAAATCTAGAATACTAGTATATGTAAAGTCACAACCATTATCGGTTATATGTATCAAAATAGTCCAAAACAGTCACAGTAGGCAGATCATTGTAGAAAATGTGAACGAACCTACATGAATATCCAATAAACTTAGAAATTTTCTTTAATTAATTGAAATTTCGGTTAGAAACACATGCATATGGTCCACGTATTGTAGTCCTTTTTTTAAAGGACAGCAACTTGTTTTAATATTTCACATAAATTAATAAAGTTAAATGTTTCTGTATCACTATGTACATGTATCACTATGTACACAACTACAGGCAATACAATGTCAGCAACTTGAGTAATTTTAATATTTTTTCACAATTAATCAATTTTATTGTATCTCTCCATCTTACCATTCCAAATCCACTAAATCCAAATCCTCCTGGGGCTTGCTGGTATGGATTTGCTCCATATCCATAGGAAGTGTATCCGCCTGCATACGGATTTTGCATGGGTGGATAATTACTCTGCAACAGATGAAGAATTTACTAATATAATATATCATCAAAAAAAAATTAAAGCAAGCAAGGATATGTATTTAGTGAAATTTAAAAAAAAAATAAAATCCTTTTATTCATTTACCAGTAACAATAAAACCAATCCATATATTTTGACAGCCTAAAGCTCTAAAATAAATTTTACTACATTGCATAATACTGGATCACTTTTACAATAAGAATGCTTAATATATTTTTGATATACATGCATATCAATGATGCTACATATTGTTTAATTATTTTATACAAGTCATGTATCAAAAGTATGCAATACATATGCATTTAAGTTCAACTCACGCCATAGTATGCCATTTTCAGACTCTTTAGTGTACCACTTATTGAGGTTTCCTTTCTGTTAAAAAAAAAGGTATAGATATGTTTAAAAATTGATCAACTTGTTCATTTATACTACTTCATATTCTTCATAACTTCACATAACATATTTGAAAAATTATTTTTCGCAACACATAGTCCAATGGATTACTTATATATTGCCCTCTATAATGTCCAAGTGACTGTATTTTAAAACTAGATGCTATCATGAGACAGTAATACCCGCACTAATAATAATGAAAATAATAATTATAAAAAATGATCATCCATGCACTATTGCCCTCTAGTTTGGCAACCTTAATGTTAGAGCCTGAACTCACTACATATATTTTTCTTAAGTAGAACAAAAAGAACATACTGCCTTTTGATTTTCATGAGGCATTAGAACCTTTTACAACACAATACCACACTGTCAGGTATTAAATATAGGAATTTTTGCCTTTCCTTCAATACGTCGTTTATTTAACCAGGTGTTCATTACTAATTAGACTCTGCAGTAAAAAGTTACAATAGTATGGTACCCTTCTATAGTTTACAGCCTTTAGCATGTATCCTTATTCAGCTCACTCATATTTTTGTCAAGTGTATTTCAATTAGACCCTCCCTTCTCCCAAAAGTAATGTGCATGACTAAGTGGACCATTATGGCAAAATTAGTTTTTGGGTTTTTGACTACATGTTTTAGCAAAACACACAGATTTTCAATTGTGTTTTATTAAATCCTTTTATTTTTAATCTATGAAAGAGATTTTTTGTAAAATTTGCTGTTACAATGGAGAAATGATAAATTTAAAAAAAAAGATCATTTCATAATCATTTAATTTCAACCTCTGTTGCCCCCCCCCCAAAAGATCAATAACCACAGCATCCTCTTTTTCAAGTAAAATTTGCTGTTACAATGGAGAAATGATAGATCTCCATGCCAATCTGTTCCCCTGACTATTATGCCACCTCTAGCTATATTATATTGTAATTTACTCATTGACTTATAATTCTAAATATTTAAAATGATGATAAATTTATTTTACAATACCAGTTCTTTCATAACACATTTCATTTTAAATCCTGATACGGTCATTGGTTTTGAAAATTTCAATTAGACCTATTTTTATACCATTAAAACTTTAAGTTAAATGAATTATGAACATAATACTGATGATAATAATGCAAATTTCCATGAGTTATTTTCGTAAAACCAGTATTTTAGAAAATAACATACCTTTTTGCACTTACTCTACACAGAAATGATGAAAAGAGAACGCAACTTTGCAAGTGCGTCTTCTTAGCAACGCAAAACAACTCTATTATTTTTTAGCGCTGTGCGCCTATTCATATTTAAATACGTTTATTTTGCAATACCTGTATTTACATGATAGGTTTTTGATATTATCTCTATTTTTTCAAAAGGGTGCCCATGTTCAATGAAACATAATTTGCAGAATTTATGAATTTACCTAAATCAATGCAGATGATGTTTTTGTTTGGATCGAAAGAGAACTTGCTGGCTCGATGTTTGTCAGACGCTTGAACTCAGAAAGTTTGACGGTTGAACTAGCTGATTCCGAATTGAGAAGATTATAATAAATAATAAAATGTCTTAACAAACCCAGCAGCTTTTTGTCAATTGAGAAAAAATGATATGAATTGGAGTTCAAATCCGTGGTGGGATGGCGGTGATAGGTTTAAGGGGTGGATCCGGATCTCTCTCTCTCTCTCTCTCTCTCAACTCTCTCTCTCTCTCTCTCTCTCTCTCTCTCTCTCTCTCTCTCTCTCTCTCTCTCTCTCTCAACCAGTTCAACAATCTGATTCTCCATGTATGTGCTTGCATTTTGTATGCCAGAGCATCCGCTTTACTCTACAGCAGACAATCATAATTGATAAAAAAAATTAAAAATAGAAACAGGCTAGTATCAAAATGGGGAGGACGGGTAGGGGATTCCAACTTCCAGCACTCTTTTCCCAACATAACTTTTCTGGTTGATTTATGATTTATTAACCCCATCCCACCCCCGAAACACGCACACGTGCCTGTTTTGTTGCGGTTAGATTAATCAACTTGGGGTAATGGGAATGTATGATACCGGTATAATCTGGTCGTGGTAAAAGAATTAAGTTGGAACGTATATATCCCTGAGTTTGTTTATGTTTTAAACTGTTTGTAATCAAACAGAACATGTCGATTATAAGTTTATTTATAAATACTGAAACTCTATAATCTTGATCTGAATTTTGCAATACTACTATGACGTAATCTTTGAATTCCTTTTGCGCACTAAATCACTACTTTTGTGAGCTGATACTTTAAAAAAAACATAGCTTCTTTACTTTATGCTCGTGTCTCCGCAATATTTTTTTTTCTTTTTTCTTTTAAAACTTTACTTGGCATTGCCCACCCATCCCCTTCCTAAACTAAAAATGTTTGGTTCCCACCAAACGGAAATGTGCTTCCAACGGCCCAATTTTCATTTAAGGGGGCCAACTGTGGTTTTCATTGCGCCATATTTCGCGCATCATAGTTCAATAAAACTTATTTATTCTTATTAAAGTAACTTTTTTCACAAAAATTGATAAAATTTAATAAATATAAGAAATCCTAGGACAAAAAAACCTAATAACAAATTTTACATAACAAATTTTTACAGCGATATTTCAAATAATGTGTAGATTTGTTACGTTAAAGTAGACTGAAGTTCTTAATTTAAAAGATGTATAAATTGCAAAAATTCAGGTTTTATTTCTATAAGCTCCCTTTAAGAGACTAGTGGTGAGCAATACTTTCACTAGTAGAGTAAAGATAATTAAATTTTTACTTTTGTTATGAAATTTAACTGACCCGGCGCCAAAAAAACGTTACTGTGGCGGGAACTAGTTTATGATACTTCCAGCCGTATGACGTAACATTTCAATCAACTTTGTAATATGAAGGTGATAAACAGAGACTTATTTTTTCCAAAATACTGAAACGATTAAAAACACACAAGAGGTAAGCAAACAATGATTTTACTTTATTAAGTCAGCATTTAGGGCCTAGCTTTACGTGAAGTCCTTGGTGATGACGTCATGCTTGGTAACTGCTAGGTAGCGTTGCGTTTTGGTTACTGTTGTTAGTTACTCACTTCGATCAGTAGCGAGTAGACGTGCTTTTCACAGAGCGATAAAACCGACATATTTCACAATGAAAAGACAAAGATCTTCCGAGAGAAAGAGCCAGAGTGTGTCTAAGAGGGTAATTCTTTAGGAAATAAAGTTTTATTGGACCTAAATGCTTCTTTTGATGTGATTGTATGGGGGGGGGGGGCAGATGTATTTCTTCGAAAATTTCAAAGATGTCGAAGGGAAGCCTACCTAGCACAATGTACTAATACATTGTACATTTCCTCAAATTTGACATTTAAAACAAAACAATTTAGTGATAGGCCTAAAGTTTGAAGAAAATATCCAAATTTAATAGATCACACGTATAAACAGCATAAATCATATAAATAAAACACATCAATGCCCTATGGTGTTGATAAAGATATAAGGGTGTATAGGTATAGATATGTAGGGACCTGGAAGGCGTAATATCAGTGTGGGGGTTGGGGTAGGGAATACTGTAAAACATTACCCTAAACCCTTACATTAATTTGATTAAAGCTATAGAACTTAACAAAAACACAAAACAGAGGAAATGCGGTAGGTCTTACATATTACTAGCAAATCTTTTTCGTTTTCTTTTTTTTCAAAATAGCCTGCTTTTCCTGCTAAACTTAATTTGGTTAACATTAATTTGAATGCATACTTACATCATACGGTAGGCCTATAATATGTTGAGAAAAAGTTTGTTGACTTGTTCAAGCTTTCCGAAAATCAATAAATAAACATAGGGGAGGGCACTCTATGACGACCGAAAGTTGAGTTGTCCCCCATTGACAATTTAAAAAAAATAGGGGGGGGTGCGATTAATTACAGTGTCCTATTTCATTTAGATCATAAAATCCTAAATTGCTTTTTAAATATTATTTTATATATAAAACTAGTATAAACATGTACCGGTATTTACTTATTTAAAAGTTTCACTGTAGAAAAAAAAAATAACCGGTCCAAACATTTCAAAAACATCAAATTGCGATACTAGTAATATCTGTCATTTTGACCATACTGATATTGTTTTTCTGGACGATCGACGAAAAGGTATTATTTTACAAATAATCCCGCCTTTATATATGAAATCATTTTTGTATTCTAAGATTACTAGTATGCATAAAGTACAATTATTTATTTTTATTTGGGTTTTTTATGTTAAGTGAGCTTTACTAAATTTTTTTTTGAATTAAGATTAAACATCGGCGTCATTTTGAAAGAAAATTTCGATTGAAACCAGATTAAAACATTGGATAATAAGCGAATGGCAAATCCCTCCAAAATAAATGCCAAAAAAAAAAAATACAATCGACTTATAGGCGAGCATATACGGTAACCACAAACAATGTACTGTATTGAAATAAGTCAGTTTTCAAAACACAGAGGTAAATATGTATGAATATAACAAGATACAAGCAATATTTTATTTGGAATTCAAATTGATATAATCTGCTTGCCTTGAAATAAAATAAAAAAAATATTTTCAACTGTAAACTATAAAATTAATTATATAAATCTGATGTACACTATTTTAATATGTATAATAGTATTTATCGATCTGGCAGTGCAGTTGAGAAAAGCAAAATTTCACATATACAAATGTATAATTTCATTTTTGTAATAAATGACTTTCCTTATTTTCATTTTAGCGCCGTATAGATGTCTCTTCAGATGACAGTCGTCAGTGGTACGAGGTGATGCTTGCTCTGGCAGCCAAATCAGCTGTAAGTTCTCCTTTCGGTAGATACAAAAGTATCTATAGCCTCTGTCTTCTCTCTCCAGTGAATACTCTCTATATTTTCTATCCTTCCTCTCCAGTGCAAACAAGTCTTTACTTCTGCTGCTCATGAATGGAAAGAGCACATTAAAGACTGGGTAAGAGTCTGAATGTGTTAAAACTCATTTAGAACATTTATAGATACGATGTAATTATTTTTCTGTGGGTCTTATAAATTGGTCCGCTGTTTTATCAGAAAAGTACAATATTTCAATTTTTTTTATTAGTATGAGTTGACCCATGCCATCAACAAGTCTGAGGAGCGTAGGGAGTTACCCACCATACCTCAACCTACGCACCAGGTACGTACCGCACTCAACATTGTTCGAACCTAATACATACTTTGTAATCATTAATATGTATAAAGTTTGGAGAGAAAACTTTTATATTCTTTGTCTTGTAATTAACTTTTGGCTGTAATTTACGATGTTTTTCTCTTACAGATGGAGTGGTTGGCTAGAGTGAATTTTGAACACAGACCCATGCGCCGCAAAGTCTCCAAGAAACAAGACTTGAATTCCTCTTTTTACGTCTACTAAAGTGGAGGATGATTTTGGTGAGTTAATCCACCGGAAACCTGTATCTTAAATGTGATTAAAAAGCCTTATACTTTCTGCAAGTCTTTGCCTTAATTTCTGCTACCCTGTAAGTCTTGAACAGAAAGTTGCATTACATACCGTATTTGAAACTCTTTAATTTTTGTGTTTTTTTCTCTCGTTGTTTTCATGGCAGGAACATGTCCCTTCATGAAAGTGTTAAATTTCATACTTTGTGTTTCTCCAGATCATAACAACTAATCCCCCAGCCCTTAGATGCTTTATGTTCCTTTTTCTTGACCCGTAATGTTTGATAAATATGCTAGACCGTATGCATATTCTGAAAATATTAATACAATTATACAATTTTCTTATTTCTTGCAGGTATCGGGCAAATTGTTTGAAAGAATCTGAATCACATTGACTGCCACAACATTCACAGTACCGTGCACTGACTGTATCTGTATTTTGTTACCACACACTTTTCGTGGACCCAAATGCCTGACTATACATAGTGCTATTAAAATTACAATCTTAATGCCAACGCCACAGCCATGCAGTGACTGTGCTTGTATTTAGTGCAACACAACCTTTCATGGACCTATATGTGCTCAGCTACATGTATAAAGTGTGTTTTAAAGTGCCGATGCATGTGCTAAGTCCTATTTATGCACTGCTTATTACCGGGTGCTCTGTGTGACTTTACATTTGCTGCATGATTAGCGGATGTAATTTATTTCCTTATATGGCAAAGTTTTATTTGCCACTATTTTTTTAAGACTTACCATTACTATTATAATTTTTGAGAGCATTTCTTATTGACTTTATATAATTGATTCATATTTTTAATTTTTTTTGTACATAGTACATGCATGTTACTTTTGTTGTTGTTTTAATATTCTTTAAACAGATGAGTTTGCGTTAGAGTTACTTTTCATCATCATCGTCCTTCACACTCTGTGGTATGTAAGACAGCAACAGGCTTCCACACTTTTGTCTTTTCTGGACCATCCTATTGATCCCCATGTTTGGTGCATGGCTTTCATCTTATTTTTCACCGTCCTTCTCCAAAGATGGTCTTGGCCTCCCTCTCCTTTTTTGCTTTGAGTCCAGTGCAGTGCTGTTCTTGTTGTTGAAAGATGGTCTTTTTTGTGAAAAACGCCATATCCATCTTCATCTGTGTTTGGTAATGATGGTACATTCATCGGCTCAACAGGTTTTCATTTGTACATGTGACCTTCTCGGGCCGGGATATGAATACCCTAGTACAGTGTACTTGACGGAGGCATATGGTATGGAAGGATCGTAATTTGCTAAGATGTGTTTGTTATTCTCCAGCATTCCTATCCTTATAGGAGAGTTGATACAATATAGCTTGGTGCTGTACTGTGCAGACCTCCAAATGGTATTTATCTCTCTAAATACTCTCCTAGTTTTACCCAGTCTGCTATGGGTGTCCTCCTTCGTATCACCCTCAGCAACATTTGAAATATATGTCATTCGCATCATAAAATCAGATGATACAAGATAAAGGTTAAATGAAAAATGGATAAAAAGATGGGTAAAGTAAAACTCAATCCGCAACTTATTTGTCCAGTAGGGAGCTATAAGGTTTCTCCTTGTTCGCCTTTCTGTTTGCTTGTCATGCAGTCTACCCCACTTTGTTTTCCGCATTTTCCCCCTAAATCAATGCTTGATGATATTGAACCGATTCTTCGTATGTGAGTCCATCTTATGGTGACATATTTCTGCCCCACTTTTCTTCAGATAATTATATTGACTTTTCAGATGTTTTTGTTGTCATGCCAGATAAATATGTCCACTTGTCAGATCTTTTTGATAATTTGTCATTTATTTACGTGTTTAAAAATTCAAAATGAAAATGCGCCCATACCATGCATATTCAGGTCATCAACATACTGTATGAGCGGAAATTTTAGCGAGACGAAAATTTAGCGATTTGCCCTTAAAAATTGGTATTTAATTTTTAGCGAGAAGTAATTTTAGCTAATTTAAAATGCTCATTTAAGAAGTTATAACAAATAAAACCCAAATAATTTTTAGGGATATTTAATTTTAGCGATCTCTGCACCCTCGCTTATAATGCCAAAATAAAATCCTTGCTAAAATTTCCACTTAATACGGTATTTTTATGGCAAGTCGATCTAAGTATTCGACAAGTCAACACAAAGATCTGACAGGTAAACATCATTTTCTGACAAGTCTACATAACATCTCACAAGCCGACTTGTCAGTAAATAATGTCGACTTCGCAGGTATGATAGCATGCTGAAAAAACAAGACACAGTTCCTGGTTGTGATGTTTTTATCGGAGACATATCTACTAGTATCTGACAAGTTAACATAAATAACCGACAAGTCAATATAATCAGCTGAAAAGTCGACATATACATATGACAAATGATGGCAGAAAAATGAAAATACACTGTACCACCATACTATCTATTATATAATTTTCATGAACTGTTTTATGAAAATGTTCATGATTGCAACACTGAATCAGTATATACCGGTACTCACAGAAATATTTTCTATCTCACGTTATAGTTTTCTGTTTTAATCATTTATAAACAGTACTATCATTCAACAGCTTTAACGTCACAGCCCGAAAACGGATACCTTAAAATATCAAACCCGTACCTTGTAAAGGCTGGACTAAGTCAACCAATATTTCAAATTACCGGTATATACAATGTATACACTAGAATATTAAGAAACAATGAGATTGTTACAGCCACGTGTTCAACTTGATCGAACTTAAGGTATTACTTTTTCTCATTTTAATATTCACACGCAAGTATATAAACTCAAATTTTCGAAACAATGATTTTTGATATTGTTGAAGATTTTATCACCATTGTTCACAATGAATTACATGTATATACTCTATATAAAGGTGATTTATCTGCACTATCTGACAAAAGGTACTTTTTCAAAATTTTATTGTCGTTTAAAATATTACCTCAAAATTCTATCACTAGTATTTACTACATTTTAATAACATATACCTCATTTCAAATAATATGAGAGAGAGAGAGAGAGAGAAAGAGAGATTAATTTGAAAAGAAGCCCGAGTTTTTATATAAAATGAATATCTCGGAAACAAGTTTGACTAGTTCTTCTCCTGGACCGGGTTAACCTTGTTTTTCATTATTCGTTTCTTTTCGCAAGACTTTTTTGCAAGTCGAAAACAACGACAAGTCCAGGCCATACAAGTAACAAGAAACAATAGTCCAGACAATCCATATGCAATGTAAGCTCCATAATGGTTTATCAGGATACGAAGTCTGTCTTCTTCATTTCCTGGAATTTGTCCTTTATCCAATGCACTTGGCGATGATTGTTGCCACGAAACAGTTACCTCTATATAGCTGGTGGTAATATTTTCTGAACTCGGTGAAGTTCGGTGCCGTGACCAGGATGAATTTGCATCACTTGTTGGTGATACTGTTTCAGAGTCACATTTGTTTGAAGCGTTTTGAAGACTCTTGCAGGGATTTGTAAACAGAACATCATTACACTCTGAGACACATCCACAGGTCAAATTTTCTGGAAAATAGTACTCCAAAATTTAATTTTAGACTAAACTACAACTGTATACTCTAACAGTGTGTAACGGTATAAAATATAGGAAGAAAGCCACGAAAAGGGCCATGTTTTTCTTTGCAAATTATCACCCACTAAACATTTTTTTACCTTTCAAGAACATAACATAAAATTCCGTTTCGGTACCATTGCATACATCGCAAACCAAGGGGTTGTATGCTGGCGGAAATGTAATATATTGGCTTTCGTTCACTGAAATGTCCAAAATCTTAATCACTAAGTATCAAAAAGTCGGTTTCAAACAAGTTTTTGCTCTATGAAGTATATGTACAATTCATTGGTATTTTCCTCAAATATAAATGTACTTTGAAAACCAAAGGTCATATACATGTATAGGGAAAATATTTGATTTACCTGATATTGTTTGATAATAAGTTATAGATTCGTTTATTGTCTTGTACAACAAACACTGGAAAGCTTCGTTGCTGTCATTCATCAGTTTGCTGTAAAATTAATACACAAATCGTTATACACGCATTCTCAATTTATAGTGCCAAATCGACTTTGGGAAAAGTCAGAAAATTTTGTGAACTGAAACTAACACATTTATATGTCATTTGAAACATGAAAGTGTATACACTGTAGTTATGAAAAATCACAATATGATTTACATACTTCATGCTGTGTTTTGTAGACCTCCTCCGAAATGAATGCGGTTGGAGGGCTAATTTTACACCAAGATATTTACGTGAAGTTGAAAAGCCTTATTTGGAAACGAAAGAATTTTTTTTTGAAAAATACAAAATTAAGATAATACACATCGAATTTTGTTAACTATAAACATTTATGAAACCGTTTAAGCACATTTGTAAAAGGGTGAGGAATCTTTGATTCAATTATTAGTAAAAACAAAACAGGCATAATTTTCATTTAAATGAAATTATTTTCTTTTTATTTTAAAAAGTTTTTATCAAATCTGACGATAAGCTAAATAATGACAATATTACCTAAAATGCTTCATTATTTGATTCTTTATTATCTATTCAGAGGAGCGCACATTATTTAAAATATCAGAAGGTAAAATATTTCGCCAGTACCTGATTACGAAGTGTTTGTTAAATACATGTATCACATAAATATCGCACATAGATATCATACAAAAATAAAAGTATATTTGGGGGAAAAATGATTATTATTATATCACATTATTGACTTTTATGAATTTTCTTATCTGTGTTCTTGATAAAGGGTTGAATTGAAAATTCAAGTTATGACTTATCTGTAGAGGATTCATTTAATTTATGACACCCCCCTTCCACCATGTAATCTGTTGATCATTTCAAATGCATAATTGCTTGTGGATACTTTATCGTCAAATCTCAAAAACAAAACAAAGTTACCCCCACCACCCTTAAAAAGGTTTGTTAATAATTACAGATGCAAATTATATCTGCTCTATAGAGCAATATAAGTACATTCTACATAAATATAACGTAAATTGAATTTTCAGTACCATTAAAGCATAGACGCATACGTTCTAAGTTCTACATGTATGTCTAAGCAACAATTTAAATGGGAAAAATTATGTGCACAATTTAATACATGTATTTCTTGCAAAGCACCAAAAATGGAAATGGATTCAATTTCGACCAGTTTCTTGACACCCAACACCCACATCCGTATTTTTTCTTTAACCCGATGTGGAATAACTCCCCCCCCCCCCCCCCTCCTCCCCTTACACGCAGCGCAGCGCCTATTCTGTGGAATTATATTTCCTACGAAAAATGATATTTTCTCCTTCAAAATGTTTAGCTTGGTATACAATTTAGTTGTATATAACGATTTTTTAAAGTTGATGATACACTATCAGTTCAAACAAACAGCAATATACAAACATTAAGAAAGTTTTGTTTCAGATTTACGTTCTGAATGATAACGTGCATGCGTTACACTTAAACTTATGCAATATTAACCAATTGCTAAAAATGGAAACATTCGATCATTAAACCACAATTCTACTTGTGACTAATATTATGTCAATTCAATTTTCAAATCATACAGATGCACAAGATATTGTGTAAAAAATGTTCAACTTTGAAAGTGCACTTCCATTTGCATTTCTGCACTCATGTACAGAAAATAATGCCATTTTAAGAAACAGTGTATTTCTTCATGTTTTTAGTTTTTAAATCATTAAGAATTACTCGCAAATCTATACAAACAGCTTTAGAATTAAATTTTAATTTACTTTAAAACATGGTAACGTAAATATTGGTAACGTAAATATCGGTAACGTAAATATCTTTCTGAGATTTATCGTAACATTTAATGCTGTTTAATTATTCCACCATCCTGTTTGTGGAAATAAAATGGACCCATATCTTGGATTGCGACAATGCTTAAATGAAAAAAAACGAATATAACGAACATTTCCATCGATTTCAAATAATCTTAAAAAATACAAATCTATGAAGACAACATAAACACGAATCCTTGGTAATTCAAGATCAGGTGCCGACATGTTAATTAAAGGCTTATTCTAGTGCTTGAGTGTAAGGTAATTTGACCCATAGGAAACAGTGTAGTTCTCTTACTTTATTTGTGAATAAATACTAACACGTAAATATCGATGAATTTTTTAACCATTGGACTTATAAGAAAAGGGGGGCTGTTTTTTATAAATGCAGATAAACGGTGTCTTTTTTACCATTCCATGCAATAGAAGAGGTGTTCATGATGTTAAAAAGTTACAACTTAATCGTATTAGTCAGTTCAGTAATCCTTTAAGTCCTTTTGAATTTCCAAATAGAAAAGTAATTATTTTGCGGTGACATCAAAATTTGATAAATATATTAACATTTTTAAAAATTTGTGACACGCATATGTGTGAAGGGTGTGATATTCAGAAAATATAACTCAAATGTAGGACAATCTTACTAAGAAAAAGATATGTAAGCGATTTAAAACTTCTTTTTGGTTTAAAATAAAAACTACACTATGATCGGCGACAGTAACGTAAATATCGATTTCTGCTATAAAATGCGATTTTCGCCTAAGACAATCATTCAAGTTACAACAAACAATTGTTGTATTTTAATCAACAACCAACAATGGTTCATATGATTGGCAGAAAATAAAATTTATTAGAAATATTATATTACTTAAAACACGGTACATTATTTAAACCGAATTGAGACTATAATTTGAGAATCAGTGTATAATATTAACAAACATTTCAGACCACTGATGAAAAAAATCCACGTTTTTATACAGGAAAAGAGACTGATAAATCCCCAGTCCAACCATTCTCAAAAAATCGCATCTTATTAATGGTCTTTTACCTTTTCAATACAATGCTCTTTTCATCAATATAGTGACATGTCCACATACTGGAATTTCCTTGACCATCTCCCCAGACTGCAGTGGTTCCTCCAAATGTAACATTTGTGGAGGAGGTTTCATTGAAGCTACCATTTGAAAACTGTGCAACCACATACGTTCTATTTTGCCAGATTGGAGGAATACTGCAAAGGGATACTGTAATCAGAGAATATTGTCCAATCAGATGGTTTTAATAAAAAGGTTATCAGCATTCAAATGTATATGAAAAAAAAGGTTATCAGCATTCAAATGTATATGAAATTATGGTTTATTAACCCCATATTCACTGTAATCATATAAAATATAGCATTAAGGATAACCTCTCCTCAACCAAGATCGAAAGATAACTATTCAAAATATTTTCTTATTATTATGTCGGTAAAACTCAAACCAGGATATTCAATGTTTTGTTGTTGGAAAAGTAATAATTTCACAACTGGGACAATTTTTTTCTCTCCATTCCCAGACTGGTTAAAGGCAGGTATAGTATAGAAAGGGGTTTACCCAAACTCCAAAATATTATTTCAAGGTCGGGGTGGAGAGATTCTTATTCATGCAACATCTTACATTATGGGAGGGGGTGGTGGCAGACCCCTTCCCTTGAATATACTAGAATATGCTTTTTTTTTTATTAATTGTCACAGGTAGCTAGCCTATTGGACATTTTAAATGTTCTAACATGTCTCTATGCATTAAAAATCACCTTACATTAATAGTATGGTATGTATTTGTGAAGTTATATCAAGTGCCCAAATAAAATAACATTTAAATGATTTAAGTTTACATTTTAACAATACATACATTACATACCTGTTTTCCGCGGGAATATCACAAAAATAAAATTCAAAATAAAAATAGGCCTAGACATCTTGAAAACATGACGTCAACGTCATTATGACGTAAAATCAACGTTAAAATAGGATACAAGTGACATTGTATTTGGAGGGAAAATGAAAAAAAAGCTTCATGGATCCCTTTAGTTTAAAAATTTTGCGTAACTCGCTCATTGTAGAAGTCGTCACAGTATAAATATACCAACGCAATTTATTATTTCCACGTTTAAAGTTTAACTGCCCTGTTTTATATATTCATTGATTTAATTATTATTTCCTTACTTTTTTAGTAGAGCTCTATAGAGTATAGCAGAGTGCAAGTAGGATAAGATTAAAAAATAAATTAGACATGATTTTGTTTCGGTGATTTTTCCGGTTTTGGGACTCAGTATTATCATGATTATAAGTATCAAAAATAAAACAGGTTCCACAAATATGCTTCATAATAATGATTTATTTATGGAAAAAGTCTAAAGGATCCTGAGTTACGAGGGTAAGATGGGAAGGGAGGGTTAATTAAATGCGGCTCAAGTTTACAAATCCCTCTGCTGGTGTTATTAAAATATGTCACCCAATTTTATGTTAACGCCCCCAAAATCTACCTGGATGAAGATCAATCATTTACCGCCGTCAATCATTAAAAAAACAATAGCTCCTGATTTGATTGACAGGCCAGGTACCCGTGCTACCTGATAGTCTGAGTTTGTGTGTTTTGAAAACGATTGCCTGGTCACGCGTCAAACACTTTCTTGTAGCCGCCCTGTATACACGGGTGTTAAAAAAAAACTTGGTGAACTTTTATTTCAAAAACAATTGAGAGTAGAAAATTAAAACATGACTTCATAAAATATTTATCTCAACAGCTATGTTGTATTTTAGGCGATAAATGTCGTCCAATTCTGCTGTTTTCTAACGTCTGTCAATACCCAATATTCGAAATTAAAAAGTGTATATATAAAACCAAAGATCAATTCTTAAAAGTATAAAAGAAATCTTGCAAGCATTTAAAATTTTTTAACACATGAACACCCGGATATTGTGAATATTTTCGACACTATTAAATAATGGTCAGAACGTAAGCAATATATAAAGTATAAGATCAATTCTTAAAAGTATAAATGAAATCTGGCAAACAATAAAAAAAATTTTAAACACGCGAAAACCCGGAAATGGTGAATATTTTCGACACCATTGTTAGTCAGACGTAGGCAATATTCCTATCGCGATACATTGTTCATGTTCACACGACGGATAGACCTATGAACGGAATATTTTTTTTATTTTTGATATTTACACAAGTTTAATTAAAAATACTCTGTAATTTAACTCTGTGTTCTTATCTTTATTTTTACTTTTTTTTCCTTTTTTTTTTATATTAAAACGATATTTCTTTATAATTTTATTTTCTTCATTAGATATCGCTGAAAGTATAAATAAATAAATTTTATATTGAAATATTTCAATTATTTCAAGTAGTTTCATTCAAATTAAGACTCTAAACACGGAATGTTGACCCTGATCACCAGACACAGACTTCCTGTGTAATGCTACGTGTACATAGATTTTTGACATCTTGAGTATTGGGGGTCTCCAGGTAAATAGCATTAGTACTACTATGACAACTCCCCCTTCTCAGGTAACCGTACGGTAAAAAAATTGGGTCTTTAAGTTTTCTTTGCTCTTTCTTTTCCTCTTCTTCTTCTTATTACATAATCTTCTTTACAAATTTATATGATATGAATTTCTTCATCAAATTAATGGGCCATCAGGGCTGTTACAGAAAATAGCTTTTAGTTTAGAACAGTTACTGTCAATCTATCAAAAGATCAAATTTCCCGCGAAAACGCTCTTTTGTACGCGGAGGTTGGAAAATACAACAGGAAATTCAACAGGTGGTAAATCACGATCAAGTACAGAACTTTGTAAACATCGGGTGGTGCAGAAATATGGTAGGTGTGGTTTTATGTACAAATATCCCATGAATAACGGTCAGTTGTAAAGACTTGTAAGCTTTGTACTGCTTTTATTCCAAAAATATATCTGTATTTACGTGTTAGGTTTTATGTAAAATACTGTACACAAATCTTGACCACTGGGCCGGGACAAGGACTAGACTGTCACCAACAGACCAATATGTCCACAGATCTAACGACGTCTTAGATGTTTGTGATATACTTTGAAGGGTATTTTCACCATTACCTCCCGAAAATGTAAACATCTCCCAGATTTCAGTGAATAAGAGCAATGCGAAATGTAACAAGACGTACAAATCAAAATATCAGAGTAGTTTGTATGATTTTAGCCGTCTGCCTTTGTTCTTCCTCAGATTGACAGAATAAAAAAATCCATTGCTGCATAAAAAAAATAATGGGTTGTGTATTGTTTAGTTATGCCTTGTAGAACTTTCACTGCTTTAATACGAGCCTTTGGTTCTGAATGGTGTGTCAAAATGCTCACATTAAATATGATCATATTTTCTTAATATGAAAAAGGTTGTTGCATGTGGCTTACAAATTCAATGACATCTAAGGTATGTCTGATATACTTTGAAGTGGAAATTATCACACTTCCCTAAAATGTAAACATAGGGTCCCTGGTTTCATGGAATAGGGACAGTGCTAAATATTGTAAGACAAATATGGGGTTTCACCGTTTGTATGATAACTATATGTTTGTAGCTATCTGCCTTTATATTTTTCATCTGAATAGAAAACTACTTTGCCGCAAGAACAGTTAGGGATTGTGTATCAATTTCTTCTGCTTTGTTGGACTTTCACTTCTTTAGCAGCCTTTAGTAACTAAATGCTTTTATATTCCTGGTTGAGGAAACAATTAACAATATGTTTCAATTTTCAATATTAAACATAAAAATACATAAAAAAAATTGCAGGTCCAATTAGAAAAATGTCCAGCAATATTTTGACTGAATTGTCAGTTAAAAATGGCCAGTCCTTATACCAGGCAAGTGGAAAAAAAACACTGAATTATCAAACTCTGTTTAAGATACCTTAAAAAGAGGTGTATTTCAATGTTCTTTTATCATAAAGTGCAGTACTGATGTACACAACTATTAAGTGAAATAATCAGAGTACAGATTAAATGTCTACATACAGCCTATTATAATACACTTACTGACTTACTAATAAATGTTCATTCTTTGACACGTTAAGAGCATTCATTTGAAAGACTTTAATTGCTATTACAGGTGCAGTATTGCTTAATTAGTAATTACGAAATCTCAAGAGTGTCAAAATGTGCATGTACTAAATGTACTTTTAATGAAAACATGGATTTATCAATGCTATTTAACTATCAATAAAGGGTACATTTTGGAAAAAATGTTAAAGCCCGTCCTCTTTTAGTAATTACTGTTTAATGAGAAATATTTCATGATTGAACACACATGTAACATATTTTGAAATATTTTTATTTATGATAGTTCTAAATATTGCCCCCAGATTAGCTCTTAGAATAGAATGCAGATTTTTGTACAGGACATGACCCCATCAGACTCCCAAACTATATATAGACCTCTATTGCTAATTTTAAGCAATCTTGCTTATATTTCCCCCTTTATATGAAAAAGGTACGTATAAATAAAAATCCTAGATGATTAATCCTGGTGAATGAAAACATGGTAAAGTTAAATATGCTGAACCTATGATAAAAAAACAATTTAGGACCTTTGAAAGTTTTTTTGTCTTATAACTATTTCTTTTACTCGTCAAAATTAAGCTTAGATATTGTTGTTTGTGAAAATTTTTGTGATCTTGTACCATATTTGATTATTATATGCATACATAAAAGTACTTGTCTCATTTCTTTCTCCCGACAATGACCTAGTTTTAATTCAATTTTAATTTTAATTTATTTGATTGCATGATGTAGTTTATCTTCCCTTATCATGCTGTGTTATGTAAGATGTTATACAAGCATCCCTATAAATATTCACTGTCATGTGAAAATCTTCACCAAGTTCACAATGTGGTTTTTAGTCTGTCACATGTCATCCTTGGACTCTATTAACATTAGATACCTAATATAGGTATCAGATATTATATTTTTAAAAATTCCAATTTAGCAGCTATTTGTAAGCTTCCTCTTCACTGACTTTTAGGAAGTACTCAAGCAATTAATGTGTTGTTTTTTGTTTTGTTTTTTTTGGCAATTGACACCATTTAACATGTCAAAATATTTATGAAAGTGTTTTGGGTTGATAACTCGACTGCATAGTTTTGTCTGATGGGAGGATTAAATTTCTTTCTTAAGTTTTACAAATAACAAGCATGCATGCATGGTTATAGGGAGGAAGAGATTTCCAAAACATTATATTTGCATATCCACTGCACTTTCCCACTATGAACATGTAGTCATCAATTGCATTCATACCACTATAGACGCAAATGCTTCCACTATGAGTGCAATTGCTCTATCACACTCATGTAGAACAATCTCTGCTACACTTACCTCACGTGTGGAGAAGTATATATATGAAATGTTTCATACGAGGAATAAAAATAAGTTTTTAATAATATTCTTTGAAAAAAAAGGAAATTCAGAATTTTTAAAATTGATGATTTATATCTTTAAAAATTCAATTTTGGTCAATGTATTTAATTGTATAATAAAACTTATTAAAAATTGTAGAAAAGGCCATAATAAAAATATTCCTAGATTCTCATCCCCGCCCGCCCCGATTTTATACCCCCGCCTCGATTTTTTTTATTTCTGTTTTTCTTCGTCTTAATTCTGATCGGGAACGGTATTCATCTACCACTCTACTTTCGTTTTAAATCCCGCTGATTTTGACAGCTGAAAAGATAGTAATTGCTGTTATACATGCATATATATTTTAAACAAGGGTCATAGGTTGAAAAAGATTGGTGATGATGTGATGTAAGAGATAATTGAACCTTTACTATATGACTTTTATTCGGGTATTGTAGATAAAATTACACCGATTGACCAGGTCAATAAAAAATCGGCAAAATTGAAAAAATAAAAAATATAAAATAAAAGCCGCCCGCCCGCCTCGATTTTTAAAAAAATTCGGATGAGAATCTAGCAATTTATTTATTATGGCCAAACTGCCATATTTTTATTTTTTGTATCATGCATATTTGAACAAAGAACGATAACTCTTCACACTTGGGTAATAACATTCAGAAAGAAAAAATTCTTTAACAAGTATATCTATTTCAAGAATGATTTCAGCTATTAAAAATAAATAGAAAAACTATAAAAAAATTATAGAAAAGCATTCTGGAGTTATAATCATTATAAAAGCATTCTCTTTTTTCATCAGAGTGTTAAATTATTGATTTTCATCAGCGGGTTTTAATAACGTTGATCGATGACGTCACACTTGCAACAAAACAAAAATGTAATGACGGCACTGCTTGTATCCAGATAACTGTGTTTGAGAGGGAAATACTTTATAAATATGTTTGTGATTTATTAGAGAAAAGGAGCATTAATCAGGTTTACTGATTTTAAAGCCGTATGTTTTTTTCTTTACTGAAGACAAGAAGCTGCGTCCTTATGTAAGTCAGGATTTCCTCTGATATTCTTGAAAAAAAAATCAAAGAATGCAAATATAAGTAATAAACAACGATTATTCAGTGAACATGGCATTATGAATAGCAATAGCTCTGCTGGCATTTTTCCAAGATGCGCTAGCGCGCATCATGGAATATGCCAGCAGAGCAATTGCTATTCATAACGCCATGTTCACTGAATAACGTTGTTTATTTCTTAAATGGTAGCTGCGTATGGTAGCATGACATGACAAAAAGATTTTATAATTTAGTTTTCTGTGGTGTAAGGATTGATGGCCCTTATATATTCACCCATTTAAAAAAAAATTGCACTTTTGAAAGCTACTTTGATAAAATGAATGGAAATTATTTCATGTACAAATGTTGCCCGACTTTTCCTCACATTAAGATGCTGATACATACATTTGGTTGTACATGCTTTGCTTTGTATGTGATACATTGTATAAGTCTTTTTCAAGTACCTGGTAATAGTTATTTTTTATTACAATTTTTGGACATTAAAACAAACATTTACTGCTTTAAAGAAAGTTTCCTTTAAGATCAATGCACTTTTGTTGCCATATTGCATGTATTTTGTTAGTTTGTTTAAATAGAAGGCAATGGTTTCTTATAAATCTTGTACCTAGCTTATATATAGTTTATGCACTTGAACAGGAATTACCTGGTACATGTTGTCAGGAAGTTTATTTTGTATTTCACTTGCTTTGTAATTTGGGAACAGTGGGTTGCCTTTCTTTGTGTCACTTTATTTTGTGAAGGATGCACACGCTGCAAAAAACTTTTTCTGCCTTCAGAAAAAAATCCATTTCTTGAGTGCAATGTATTTTTACACGTGATTGTACAATTACTGATACCTAATCCTGTTGATATTTTCTTTATTTCCCAATAATAAAAGAGTTATTTGACCTTTGCCATTAATATCATATAGAATGGCAGCACTGAGATCAGAATCTCATGAAATGACAGTTTTCCTACGGAGAAATCAATTTTTTCTCACAGCTAGCCTAATGTAGAAATATTTTTGGGGAATTGAGCAAATTGGTCGAGGGATAAATAAGATTCCTTTTTTTTTTTCAATTATCCCCAAAGTCTTGCTGCTGTGTAATTTTTTGGTGGTTATTCCGAATAAGAAAGCATTTCATTCTGTGTGGGATATTGCTCGATCTTTATATATATATCTGCATTCATCAATATATGGCTGCAAAAAATGGTCAAAGCTGGATGGCTAAAAATCATGCAGGTAAGTTTGCTTCAGTTGAATAACTTTCATTTTTCCCACTATTGAACATGTTGAAAGGCAGGAATAATGATTATTCCTAAACGATACAGATGCTGGGAAAAGAACAAGCTAATTAGGTGTTCAGGATAAGTGTTGAAATGTCATATCATAAATGGAAAAAATAAAATTGAAAATTTGGTCTCCTTTCTTGTTGATGATGTATAGAAACAAATTAAATTTTGAGCAATTCAGCTAATGAAAAAAAGGTGGCTGGAAATATGATAATTTATACACTATAAAAGTTGAGTTGATGTGTAAATTGGTCATATAACTTGGTGAGAGAAAAAAAGGATTTCGAATTGATTTTCAGGTGAGTATTCAATAATATGGTAACAATATCTTAGTTTTATGACTTCAAGATGTTAAAAATGCACAGATGTAAAAATATATGAAAAAAAGAGGTATCAGGAAACAAGCATTAAATTATGTCATTTTATGTGCGTATAAATGTACTTGGTTAGTGGGTGAATGTTGTATAAAATGATATATAATTAAAATCATATTGAGAAAAATTTAATGTACAATGATGATTTGAGGACAATAACACTTTTACTTGATATACATTTTCAATGGGTGAATTATGTTTATGATTAAAATTGTGTAGTGAAAAACAAGAAAGAATTAGGAATAACACTATTATTTAAAAATAATGTAAACAGTGGTAAACACAGTAAAGTACACACATTTCACTTGATCTGCACTGTTAATGTACAAGCATGTGTATAGTTTTCTCATAAATGCACCTTTAAGTACTTTGTAATTGAACCTATTAAGAACACGGATTAATGTATACTGGGCAGATACAATGTATACCGGTACAAATATATGTGTATATCAAATGTATACTTCTGATATGCATGTTTTATATCATTTTCGCTAGCCAAGGGTTTCTGGTCCAAAATCTACGCTGTTGAAGAGTAGATTTCGGATCACAAACCCTTGGCTAGCTAAGATGGTTTGATATGTGTACACTAACTGGTTTATTGAAAAGTACATTTAACAAATATAAGAGATCATTTTTAGAGTTTCATTGGGCTAAGATGTGAAGTCAATCATGTGATAATTCCTAAAATGCCAAATCTTGAAAGGGTGTTGTTTGTAAGTGAATAATTAAAATCATTAGTAAATTGAATGTTAAATTTGTAAGTGTGAACTGGGTATGACTGGTCAACAGGGATGCTTACTCCTCATAGCCACCTGATCCCGTCTCTGGAATTATCGGGTTTCTGTGTTTTATGCCCTTTTTTCACAGATATGTATCGTTTGAAGTTTGTTTTGAGATCCATTTGTTCGTAATCTTCACCTTTTTCACAAGTGGAACAAGGAAGCTTGATCACAAGTGACAGGTTGATATTTATGGGTATCGACTGAAAATCTGTCGGTCAATAAACCCTGACAAAATATCCAATATATGTACCCCATGCCTTTAATTCCTTGCAGAACTTGTTTTTGTATTTTAATTTTCCCTATGCTCAGAACTAATACCCCTCAAAAACATCCCCAGCTGTGAAATACATGTACATGTAAATCTACAAATCTGGTAAATTGTTCTACCAAGTTTGTATGCACATAAAGTTAATTTCAAAAGCAATAGGTGATTGAATATGAAAGAAATATTTTAAGAAAAAAAGTAAAATTAGGAAAAACATATGACATGTTTACAAAATATACTAATGTACAGCTCAATTGTAAAAAGTTAAGAAATAGTGCAAGAAATGTAGATAGAAGATTTTGAGCTAAATGTTCTAAAATTAGAAGCTAATTAAACATTTGAAATGAAGAAATGTTATAGATTGGAAATATTAAAATGAAAATATTTCTAGATAGACTTCTAATCTTTTACTTTTTCATGTCAAAGTCCAAAGATTGTGTTGAAGATTGATAAAATAATGATGCTTTATCTTGTAAAAAAAAAAGGTTATCTCAGCAGAATTTTAAATTTTTTTTATCCGTCTGAGATAACATGCCTGTATGAGTGAACTGTGTTGTAAATATTTAATTACGCCTTATGGTCAACTTTCTACCTCTCGCCATTATCGTGTTAATATTCAGGACTCGCTGGTTATAGATGGCTATTTGCTCTGTATATAGCCCCCCTTCAAGTTTGATAAATATCTGCAGCCCAAAATGTAAATATTTCACCTAAACCCAAAGCTTGAAGACAATGTGTCAGACGTGATATGAAAAAAATTAATGACCCCAATGGTCACTCTTGTGCTTATATGCTCAATGTCTCAAACTGGACATTGAATAATCCAGATTTTCTATTGTCATTCAAGGTAGATGTGCATTGATGGAATGCGGTTAGAGTATATCTCGATCTGTATAAGTTTCAGGTATCATAAGAATGCCCTAGGTGATAGGAAGTTTATCCATGTATACCTGTTGTAAGATCTTAAATCACCCCTAGACACTCCAGTCTCGGAGCTTTTGTCATTGATATTGAGGCGAAGTTATGGAGATTTCCTGGGTGTTTTAATATACCGCAGGTTGTCAGGTAGAGTCCAAAGGAATCTTATTTTCATATGTTGTTTATTACTTATAGGTTGCAGTTTTTAGCTTTTAAAGTTTTCAAAATGTGCTTCATGTGAAAAGACAACTCAGAATTATAGACACCTTGAATTATCATTTATGTACTAGTACATTGTACTTGTCAATGAAATAATGATTTAAATTGCTTTGTACCGACAATCCTAATTTATTACTTGTGTATACCATTAATATATAACGGCAAACCTTCCATTTGCAACAGGAAAATATAAGTGTATTCTATTGTGTACTGAAAACAAATTTCTTGGCCAATGAAAAGGAAAAGTAAATGTGTCTGTGTGTATTTAAAGGCCATGCCCGATATCACATTTTCCAGTAGATTGGAGTTGGATATAAAAGTAATACAAGAGACCCCTGTTCTGAAAATACTTTCATATTTCACAATAAAGCTCTTCTTATGGATGGCCATAATTAAATTTTTTCCTGTTTTGCAGGCGATGAGAACCGAGAGGGGCCATGTAATCACCTGAAAGTCTCTTCATTGGAATCGACGACACCACCTTCAGTAGAAAGAAGCCCGCCTTTGGAGCAATTCAAGCCAAGAAACTACTTTTTGCAAGACAGAAACATTAGCACCCAAGATGTTTCATCTTGTCAAAACATACCATCAAAAACTCCCAGTGAAAATGTAGAATGGGATAATGGTAGTTTAGGGGAATGGCATAAACAACAGGATTGCCATGGAAACCAAGGATGTAAAAACGTGTGCCACCGCAGTCTAGTTTATAAATGGTCGGAATGCTTCCCACCAACTCCCAAAAGATGTATCAAAACTGAGAAGCAGACGTCAAGCGGAGACTGTCACCAGAAAGAGGCTCGTCAGAGACTTGATCAAGACTGCAAATCAGAAGGAGCAGAAACAGATCTATCTGAATTTTGGGATAATAAGTATGATTTTTTGCTCAAAGACAGCCCCCAGAAAGTGAAGGGAATTTTTTTGGCAGAATGCAATAATAAATTTGAAGATAAGTCAAATGTTCTCCTTGCAACAGGCGAAAGCCAAATATCACTTCAAAGTTCTTGTGCGAGCATTGGCAGAAATAAGCAAGGGAGTTTGAAGGACATTTTTTGCAGAGGAAAACAATTTATCAAGACTAAAGTTTCAAATTACAAGAACAAACTGTTGAATAAAGAACTGCTTTCATCTGGAGTGGAGAGCAGGGCTGCAACTCAAGAGACACCTGGTAAGAACAGAAAAATGGATGAATTCTTAATTGATTCATTTTTTTGTACTTTGGGAATTTTTTAAAATCAATTTAATCTTTCATTAGTAACTTTTTGATAAACATTGCAGTCTGCATGTATTTTTTTTTTCATGTCTGATACAAATTAGTCATACATTCAATGATTATAATGGTATAAGTACATATGAGTTTATATTTACATGTAAGTAATGATGTATATTTATCCAAAGTATTCTATAATTAACATGATTAAGTTATGCATTCTGTAGATTTATGAACAATGGCATTTTATTTAAGTGATGGATATACATGAATTATTTACATGCATGGTTATGAGTAGATTTGTTTAAAAAAAGAAAAATGTCAGAAATTCATGGTAAGATTTTAATTCAGTGAAATTTTAACTGGACTAATTGATGACTGAATTCTGTGCAAGGGTTACATTGGCTACAATGACCTGTTAATACATGTAAACTGATGTAATCTTTTGGCCTCTGGACATACAGTTGTCCAGTTTGATTGAATTTTAAAGGGGAAATATAGATCAGTGTTTCCCATCTCAATTGATTGCAGCGAAGCAATTATTATGTACAAGTGACCTAAATTTTATATGAAATAAAAAAGAAAATGCCAACATGTGGTATGAGATAATTTTTTTTGAAAAAGTCGTTCCGTAAAGCTCTTGTACAACGTTTGCTGATAAAAGAAAATTTAATGTTTGTATTTTGCTTCCAACATAGATACTGCTGTAGAGGAGAGAAAGTGTCTGATGTCTTCTAAAGAAAATCAATGCAATGAAATTATCTGTGATAAACCTCAAGTCAATGGCTTCACTTCCACTGCTGAAGAAATTAGGGGACACTTGGAAGAGCAGGTGAAAGGTCGAGAGGTCATGGGGTCAGGGGACAACCAATCTGCTGGTAAGTTGATGATGAAGTAATGTAATTCGATCATCCCAGTTGTCAAGAACATTATTTATGATCACAGGTTTTTTTTTTATATCCAATGATTTTAGGATAAAATGTAAAAATTTGAGAATTTTTTTTACCATTTCTGTGAATTGTATTTACGAAATACACAGTTCTCCTTGACAAGTTTTTGCTCAAAGATTATTATCATTTATTACACACTTAGTAATAAATACAGGTTTTTTGCATATGCGATAAAATGTATTTATGATCACATATCCGGTTTTTTTTATATCCACACCCTTAGTAAATTAAACCACAATAACAATACTTGTGATCAACACAATTTTTTGTGGGTTCATATTCTCTTAATTTTAACTTTTTGAAAATAAGGTTAATCTTTACATGTAATACTATAGAATATTTTCAAATTACGGATCAAGTGCATTGAAATAGAAGTAGAAACAAACCCAAATCTTAAGAGACATTATGTACATGTATGTAAGAAGTCCATGCATGATTATTTACTTATTTTCTTCTCAACTGAATGTGTTCTGTGTTTTATTACTAAGTATGTAATAAATATAATAAAACATACCCTTTTCCACATCACATCCTGTATCACTCGAAGTTTTTGGCTGATATTGGTGTCAAAGATTATTAAAAGGGTATGTATTATTCTCTATATAATTATTGGTTATTTAAAGATCAGTATTAAGATTTTTTCTACAACAATCTATTGATTCATCAGTCATAAAGAGGGAAAAGTGTCAGAGTTTTTGACATGACAACATGTTCTCTGCTACTTGCATTAAGTATGGGAAATTTATTTTACAAATGGTTGTTATCAAACTGTTTCATAACTTAAGTCTTTTTTTCTAATTGTTTTCAGAGAGGCGATCTAGGGACTTGATTCTGGATGAGAAAGTTTGCTCAGTGGCCCATATTTCTCAGGAGGAAAATGGACCAAAATCGGGGTATGGAGTAGTTGAATAGTCAAACAGAAAAATGAATATTTAATATTTGTTATTAATGAGGGCCAGTTTTCAGTTCATAATTGTACAGTATAAAGGTATTTTTCCTACTCACTATGAAAAGATCATGTTCAGTTCGATAGACTTCTTGTTTTACATTTGTCAGTCATGCACATGCAAGCATTATCCAATTTATGATAATTGCTTTTAAATTAAACAAAAACTAGTACTGAAACTCAAACTAGGTACTGTGAGCACTGAGCTCACTTAATTAAACCCCCGCCTCCCATGTGATTATACTGGCAAATGCAAATAAGTCCATGTTTTGCTCTGGGAGACTTGAAATAAGTGTCGGATCGAAAAAGTAAAATCTGAAAGTTATAATTTATAGTGCCTGTTTTTGTTTCAGGGTTGAGGAGGATGTCCTCAGAGAGGAGCAGGAGGAGGAGGAGGAGATTCCTCTGGGATCTGAGGGTAAGAGTTCAAGGTCAATGCTAAGGTCATTGTCATCAAGTTAGGTCATTTCATTAATAGAGGTCATTTCTTCAAGTGAGGTCAATTCATTTATTGAGGTCATTTCATCAAGGCAATTTTATTAAATGAGGTAATTTCATCAAGGTCATTTCAGCAAGTGGGATCATTTTCATTTTGTACATTTTACAATTCAAACATTTGTAGCTATGCACAATTTTGATTTTCTCCTCCCCCTTATTCTAATTTCAAAAAAAAATCCACAAACTTAATTATGTACATGCATGGAAATTTGAATGCTTCAGTATACTTCCTGAATATATATATCAGATTTATCTAGTGAAGAAATAATCATGAAGGAAATTCCAATTTGTGCAAAAATCTGCAGTTTTTACATGAACGTAGGATTCCTGTTACAGAGAAGAAAATTATGAAATCCCCATTTCAAAGCCTGTTCACAGGAAGAAAAATAAATGTAACGCCAGTAATGCAGTCATTATATTGTTGTGAAGTGGTCTTTTCCTCATCAGCTAACTGTGTTCTGTGTGAAACTATAACCATACCCAATAGGCTGTTTTGTCGTAATATGAACAATTTATTTATGGTTATAAGTGGGTAGTCGGAATAAGGGACAATTCAGACCCATTTTCTCTGTTGTACAAGCTAGGATGAACTTTTCCAACACATGTTTACATGAACAATTTGTCAGTGATTTGGACTTGCTTCACACAGTGAAATTCTTGATATTGAAGTTTTTTGGGGACCTTTATTTAAGTCTAACAGAAGGAGAATCAAATGGTGAGCTATTTTTTCTGTTCAAAAAAGTGCCTTCAGTCAGACATGATTTGTTAAGAAAACAGAAATATAAGAGATCAATCTTTTTTAAGTTTACGACAAATTTATGTCAGTAGGACAGTATTTCATAAAAATTTCTTAATGATGCTTTCATGGAAGAGTTAAACTGATTTTTAGTATGTTTCAATTTTTTTAGAGGGGAGAAACAGAAAAACTGCAATTTTGCTTAGAAAATAAAGTATTAAGAAAGTATAATTAGCCATATGTTTTCTTTCTGAGAAAATGGTGCATGTAAAATTCAAACACACATATAAGAAACAACACTTGATATATGCTGTGCTTCTTAAAAATGCAGCTAGGAGATCAGAAAAATAAAATATGTTCATGTGAAATGAAAAATTTAGTAGAAAGAAAGATATAAGCATCCACATGAAAGTGCGGTTAAATTACGAGCGAAAATTTAGCAGTGACTGTAAGCAGTGTATTCTACCTGCAGTCTAATAAAAAATTTCCCGTGTTTTAATTTTTATTTGTTATATGCCATGGGTTTTATTATTTGTTATGCCGTAGGGATAACAAATAATAAAAAATAGGAGATTCTTTTAATTAGACTGGTTCTACCTGCAGCCATACAGAATTCTGTACTGTGACATTATTTTTCATATTAGCAGAATTTTTGTCCCTTATTTTACATGAAATCAAGGAAATTTGTAGTTTTAGGTATTTACATTATGCTCATTTTTTTTCAAATGTGTCATTTTTAGCTCACCTGAGCCGAAGGCTCAAGTGAGCTTTTCTGATCAAAATTTGTCCGTCGTCGTTGTCGTTGGCGTTGTTGTTGTTGTCGTCGTCGTAAACTTTTCACATTTTCATCTTCTTCTTGGGCCAATTTCAACCAAACTTGGCACAAAGTATCCTTGGGTGAAGGGGATTCAAATTTGTTCAAATGAAGGGCCACGCCCTTTTCCAAAGGGAGATAATCATGAATTTGTTAAAAATTAATGGCATTTTTAAAAAATCTTCTTCTCCAGAACCGCTGGGCCAGGAAAGATGAAACTCATGTGGAAGCATCCTCAGGTAGTGTAGATTCAAGTTTGTTCAAATCATGACCCCCGGGGCAAGGGTGGGGCCAAAATGGCCGACCCAAGTTTTACATAGGAATATATAGGAAAAATCTTTAAAAATCTTCTTCTCCAGAACCACTGGGCCAGGAAAGATGAAACATGTGGAATCATCCTCAGGTAGTACAAGTTTGTTCAAATCATGACCCCCGGGGCAAGGGTGGGGCCAAAATGGCCGACCCAAGTTTTACATAGGAATATATAGGAAAAATCTTTAAAAATCTTCTTCTCCAGAACCACTGGGCCAGGAAAGATGAAACTCATGTGGAATCATTCAGGTAGTGTAAATTCAAGTTTGTTCAAATCATGACCCCCGGGGCAAGGGTGGGGCCAAAATGGCCGACCCAAGTTTTACATAGGAATATATAGGAAAAATCTTTAAAAATCTTCTTCTCCAGAACCACTGGGCCAGGAAAGATGAAACTCATGTGGAATCATCCTCAGGTAGTGTATTCAAGTTTCTTCAAATCATGACCCCCGGCCCTGGGGATAGGGTGGGGCCAAAATGGCCGACCCAAGTTTTACATAGGGATATATAGGGAAACCTTTTAAAATCTACTTCAAAGCTATGATTAGTGATATTTATATGGAATCATAGGTAGTGTAGATTCTAGTTTGTTCAAATGATGAACGCCTGGAGGGGGGGGGTTAAATTCAAGCCCGATGTGCTCAGGTCATCATAAATTTTTTATCATAAATTCTATATCAAAAGACCTTGAATTTTTCTTCTTCATCAGTCAAACTTTCAATCAGCATATATATCCTTGAAAGAAACAAATTGTTCTTGCATAGTAATGTATGTCTTAAGCAGTTCCACTTTTTTAACTCAATATCACATTTTTTTTGCATTGATCAATTGCATTATCTGGTCTGAAACTAGCTGTACAGTTAGAGAATATGTGATGGATCATTGTTAAGTTATCTATGTCACGCTAGCTGGAACACAGCTCTGAGAGAGAAAGAGTGTACTATAATGTGTTTCTAAGTATTTAACATCCCCGCCTTTACATTTATCTTGTCTAGAAATCAGTACCTGATAACTGAATTAATTTCGTGTTTTCATTCATTTCAGCCTTATCCCTGAAAGAAGCGAGGTAAGTCCCATTTATATTTGTCAATACATAAATCTCAATTTATCTGCATGCAATTTTGTTTACTTTTTCACATATATGTGTAGTTTAAGTAGGAAGATATTGAGCTGATGTATTAAGAATACTTGTAGCTAGAAGAGGCAGAATGAAATTAATTTTATAGTGTCACGAAGTATTTAAATTGATATTCGTTTCAACATCATGTGTCATTCACAAAGTTGTGTGGCCTTATACAGTATGGATTAGGAATGTTACATCTCTCTGTACTGTGCAGAGGTTACTGTGAAATCATCAGTGTTTGCGTGGGACCAATGTTCATGGATTTCATGGCCTGTCATCCTTATTAACAAATTTTCATCCCTATGAACAATTATGTTGTTCAGCATTTATTCACTGAATCTTCTGATTATACTATATATACTAGTTAACCATGTAATTATGTCCCCGCTAATTTCTGCCTAACCATACACATTGATCTTCTCAAATTGAAAAGATTCCAAAGTAACTTGTACAGCAATTAAAACTCACAGAGATCTTATCAAATTTTGGTTTAATACTGTAGATAGGGTAGGTTCATACAGGTACATTGTATTCTGTTAGGAGGTTGTGATGGCTCAATCAGATGCATCTTTATATTGCTAAGACTGAAAATAAAAGCTGGACCATTTCATTTAATGGCCAGTCTGTGAAAATTGACTTTTATATTCTTGGCCATATATCTTTAAGGTCATTCATTGAGTTAGAGACTTCATTCATGGTTAAAAAAAAGTCAAGGATAAAGCATATTCCAGGTCAAGGCCAGTATATCAAGGTCAAAGATTACATTTTACATTTAAGGTTTTCATTATTAATGCAATATGTGTTACAAATGATTTACATTTTGTTTAGAAATTGAACATAAGCAAAAAAAAAAAATTATAAAATAAAAGAGGATCTCAAGTATAGAATATTAATCAATTTTAGATGCAAATGTAAAGAATTGAGAAACTAACTTCCTATGTATAACCTTTATATTAAGCATGATCCATCAATGTGGTCAGTGATCTAAATTTGGTAGATATAGACTCAGAATTTCAGTAAGATTTGATGTGAACGACCATGGAAGTGAAAAGTTCAATCAAGTCTGACAGCAGAATATGTGGCTGCTTTCCTGTCTTTGGTTTGTCTCCTTTTGATTTCTTAATTAAATCACTTTGATTCATTTAACACAGTTTATAATTGGTGGCAGCATTTTTGTGGTTATTGGTGATTAAAGAATGTCAGTTCAGTTTCTTTTTAGGAAATATCGTACTTACAATGTATTTGAAATTTAAAAGGCTCTGTAGAAATTGGTAGAAAAAAATGAATGAAAAATTTAATTTTCATTTTATTCATTGTTATCTTTTTTTACCACTTGATTAAGAAAAAAAGGTGAATTGTTTTAATGCAAATGTGGTTCATATGAAGCAATTTATGATTTTTATATCTAGATAGGGTTCAGTTGAGTTCATTCATTAATGGTTAATTAGGTTACATTTAATTATAGTCTAGAACTTAGAAGCAGTTTATGTTCAGGATTTCCTTGTTCTAATTATAATGTAAATTTTTCAGCAGTTCAGTCATTTTCTTATGTACTTTGATTTGTTAATTGTCATGTTATAATGCCAATGAAACATCTGTCAACTTATTTGTAGATTTATATATGATCTCTCCTACTTTGTAGAATAAGAATTTATCTGTGGCATAAGGTAGATTATTTGTGAAAGCAGAGTGTGCAATTAAAGACTAACATTTGTAGAACCTCGTCAATTTATAGTAATTTGTGTAATTTTCAGATATAAATGGAAGATTAGCCATTATATATACATGTATGAAATCAATACATGTATGCTTGAAATATTTTCTAAAGCATCAGTATCATATTAATTTTTTTTCTTAAAAAGTAAATAGGAAATAGGAAAGTTGGGGGGGGGGGTAATGGAAAGTTTAATTATTTAAAAAGAAAATTGAGAATTATGAACGTAGTTTTTTTTTTTAAAGTTTTGTTTAGTGTTGTTACAACATGTTGCTTGAACTAATTTTATATCATTGATGTATTTACTTATTATTCAGACAATTAATCAGTTGGAGCTTTTAAAGATAAAGCATTCCTACAATATAATATTTCACTAATGGGGATGGGATTGGTTTTATAGAAAAATTTATCCAAGTTTTTCTCTAAATTCACAAATGTATTGCAGCTTTAAATATTTAAAACATGTTTTTAAAAAAATCAGAGATATGAGTCAAATTGTATGCAATAATTCATATTGATTTTAAGTTTGATTTTTTATGGTGTTTGTTTGTTTTAATAGAATGACAAATCTATCTATAGAAATTGGGAACATCAAAGTATTTTTTAACCATCAACCATGCCCCAATCAATTTTAAATTGTTATAATCTACGTTCTCTCTCAATCTAGTCATATTTAAATAATGTTTTTAATAAGTCATACAAACATTCTCATGGTAGAAAAATGAATGCCTGTAGGAAGTTATAAGAGGCATTTGTTAAATACGTATTTGACATTAATTATTACTGCTATTTGACAAATCTGAAATGCCTTGCATTTGAGTGGATGGGGGCTAATATGTGTTTGTATGTGTGTGATTTTTAATATAGTCTATAAATTTAATGTTTATAGATGACAGTAGACTTTATTAGAGTAAGATAAATATTTCAAATGTTTACGAAGACCAATAAATCACCTTTGACTGGTACCCACCCTGTTGTGTATAGTAGTCACGATCAATTTTAAATCTTTTCACATCTTAATTGTTGTTCATCAGTGCTGGATTTTCTAATTGTTAGGGTTGTTTTTTTATCATGATGTAAGTATGCAGTGTCATAACGTCTTTGAAAGAGGTTTATTTAATTTAAAAATTGTTGATTTGATATCATACAGATAAGTAAAACATAGATGAAAAAACCTGGGGAAGAAATTAAAATAATTTTTCTTTACATTCTTTTATAATACTGAAATATATTTTTTTTTTGGAAGAAAAATGAACAGGATGTACTTTTATTTATGAAAGTACATGGTGCTTTTAAAGCCCCTAGAATATACTTCATGTAGATAGAGTCTTGTGAATGAATATAACAAGGAATCTTCATACTTCGTGGAGATTTAAGTATATGTATAAATAGATATCTCTGTCTGACTCTGTACACTTCGAAAGCAATGAAAATTTTATTTCTAAGATTTTAAAGCAGGGGCAGATTTCAAGCTTTATTTTGTTGTACAAATTTAAACAATGTTAATATTCAAGGCTCTAAAGTTGGCTTTACTGGGAATATGACAAGTGATGGTCTCATTAAAGTTATATAATTTATGTATAAATAAATTTACCTATGTGGTTGTTTGAAAACTTTCATCATTGGATGTAAGGCCCATTCATCTTAATGCTACGAGAGAGAGGGGTCCTCATTCGCTGGCCTTGGTCCCAGATTAATGGTGGGCATCAGGCAATCTGGCATAAGAAAAACACTTCTGGGAGACCCAGCTAAATTAGAATAAAATTTCCTTCTGACGAAATTAATTGCATTACTGCCATCATCTTTAAATTTATGGCTATCAAAGTGTGACAATTTCATTCAAAGTCAAAGACTTTTTTTCTCCGTATTGTCAAGTAGTATATACAGACATCATGTAGTAGATTGTTTAAACATAAAGACCATAACATTTTTTCCCCCTTTTCATCCAAGCTGTTGAAACATTTTTTTTTCAAAATTTTTTCTTGGAAATATGTATAACATGCAGTTCAGCCTAGATTTGATTCTGAGACGTGGATTATATGGAGAGTTTGTGCTGTTTGATTTTAGATCTACTCCTTGTAAGCAGCCTGTGGACAAACGACTAGGATGGCTGCTGAGTGACTCGGCCAACACCAGTCTGGGCTCCGACTTCTCACACAACAGTGATATCAGGTCAGTAGATGGACAATTAGTCTGTATATTTTGTATGCTGGGTTATTTTAGCCCCTGTGTTATTTTTGCTCTTTTACACTTGCAAACAATTTGGTTCCATTTTAAATCCACCCAGTCATAGTTCTGTTTTAAAAGACATTACACTGTTCTTTGTATTTGCCCAATTTTAAATTTGCCCACCTGTAAATAGGGTAAAAGGGGCAAAAATAAAACGGGGGCAAAATTTCCCTGTATACAGTAATTATTTGAATGTGTACTAGTATTGAATAGTTACATAAAACTACTGCTCAGCTGGTTGCACTAAAGTAAAATCACACCCTGACTCATCTTTGTGCAAAATTTTTGATGCACTTAAAAGAAGTAAGCATATAATATATTGAGACAATTTAGTCAACTTTCTATTTTGTTTTGAAAAACATTGTGCATGCTGTAAAATAAGTTTACAATAACCAGACATGTATCAAATATGTGCATTTAAAAAAGCAATGTTTTTTTCACCCACTGAAAAAAAAAATTAGAAACAGAATGTATTATGGATAAATTGAACTAATTTATCTCTTCTGACAATTTTTACTCTGTCTTGAGGGTGCTAACTTTTTATCTTGGTTTATAAGTGTTCTGTGAAATATGTTATACCCCCCGCTTGTATATAGAAATTTGTTTTTGGTTAAGTTCTCATACCACTGAATGAAATTTAGTGAAACTTTCATCTTTATTACATATTGCCATTGTGCACCTATTTTACTTTTTGAAATATATTTTGGATTTTCCAGTTTTTTATTTTTCGGGGGGTGTGAGCTCATTGCTCACAGTACCTCTAGTTTTTGGTAAAGTTTTAGGATATGAATAATTAAATTTATTTGTTTTATTTTTCTGGACTTTTCCAGTAGATGTAGCATATGTGTGCATTTCTTTCTTGTCAATGGGTTATTTAATAATTTAATAATAAATTCTTAATTGAGCCAATGAAATAAAATTTTAGGGAAATTTTTGCTACATTTGGGAAGAAAATTTATCATTTGATGGAATTATTGTATTTTGAGTTTGTATGGTTGTTGTTATTTATAGGTGTTTAGAAGTGTTTCCCTATATGTCTGTGCTATTCTTAGCCAAAATGATGTCCTTTTGAATGCTAAAAGTTCATGAAAAGTAGTTGTAATATATATTTTTAGTTTTGATTAAGCAAAACAACAGCTGTTTTCTGTATATTCAGGGATGAACATTTACAGAACTTTCATTTGGTCAAAAAAATTTAAGCACAGTATAGAATTTCTTTTCATAAATATAAGGGGAAAAACTATATCGTTTCATTTTGAGACTTTGTGTGATCTACGTTTGCAATATAATTATAATGTATTGGTAAGTAGTTATTTTAAACAAACTTGCATTTTCCATCAGTTAACATTTTATTGATGAAGTTATACCCTCAACTGTGAAACAAATTATATAATTGGGATTAAGATAAGGGCATTATGTATTATTTAGAGAACGAGATGGGTTCTGTATCATAGATACAAATTTGGGTGTGGAGACGAGTGCGCGAGCACGAGTCTCCACCCCCAAATTTGTATCTACGATAAAGAACCTGTCAAGTTCTCTAAATGATTTGTGACACGATCAATCAAAAATAGCTCCGCCCACTTTAAAACTTTGCAGCATCCAAACTTCCGCCAGAGTTCTGTAGATGAGGCCCCGACGGGGAGTGCACATCCGCAGTATATATATTTACACGGAAAACGTAAAATTCGGTCAGATTAGTTTTGACAATTTAACGGGGTAGACGTAATCGAGTGATAGTCAGTCTTAATGGATAAGGTGGAGGATTTAACCGTCATTGTTGTGATCTATTAAATTGAAGATGGAGATTTATCATAAATTTATTTCACTGAGGGGTCTTAAAATCCCGGTTTATCTAGATTAACAAAAACAGGATTTATAGAAAATTCTTCGATGGACTTTGATGTCACAGATTTTTATTTTCAAATTGAATTGCGACATTAAGAGACGTGTGGCTGTCGTCAGCGAGAAGGATTTTAAAAAATAAAAACGCGGAAAAAATGGACTTGAATGATTTTGCACGAGGAGAGTGGATGTTTTCCATTATTGCGAATTTTCCGTTTCGTTTGGAGCGAAATTACGTACAGAGGATGTTTTCCGTTATTGCGAATTTTCCTTTTACTTTGGATCGAAATTACGTGTAGATTCTGTGTGGAATAAGTTTTTAAAAAGTGATTGAGAAATTTTGACATTTTACATTCTCAGGAAAATACCGGGTATTTCTCCAAAATTTATAATAGGAAAACATCAGCATTTACTATTTGTACGTGCTTTTGCTAAATTGAATCAGATTTATTTTTAGACCGTGCTGTATTTTAGATACAGAATAGTTGGCAAATACAATGCTGTATACAGGGCTAATACAGAACGGAAAGTAGATCCGCCCACCACAGTCCCGTTCTGTATTGCTAATACAGAACAGTAAACTTCAAAGAAAAACACCGCTATCGTGTCACAATATATATCTAAATATTCATTTTAACATAATTATACCCCCCGCTTGAAAAGTGGGAGGGTATACTGTAATCGGTAAGTCTGTCCTTCCGTCCGTCTGTTACGCTTTGGGGTACCCATCTCTTATCCGCAACTCCTCTCATACCACTGAAGGAAATTTAATGAAACTTTCAAAGAATCTTTATTACATTATGCCATTGTGCACCTCCTATTTTACTTTTTGATCTGACATATATTTTGGATTTTTCAGAGCAAAACATGGACACTGCCATTATATTCATATGGGAGGCGGGCGGGGGGTATCATTTAGTGAGCTCATTGCTCACAGTACCTCTAGTATTTCAAGTTTGATTGGTAATTGTCAGAATATCATATCTTGCAAATACTTTATCCAGTGTACAAATACTAGGAAAAACATGTTTCTTACCTGAGATAAAATAGAGATTAGTTGGAATTGTAAGTCATTTAAATGTATGACAGGTTTGGGTAACCTTAGTGATAACCTTTGTCAAGTTCAAGTTATCTCTGTACATGCACATGTAGATTGCACGTAAGACACATTGAAGACTAAATACTGGATGAAGTATATGTAATCAGCCAGTGTCAGGTACATGTTAAGTTATACCCTCTCATGAATATAGGAGTCATTTTCGTGCAAAATTTACTGTTTAAGTGATTATGATAAATGCAGTGTGTGACAATAAATGCTGGACAGAAGGATAGCTCTGATAGGATAGCTAAATTTTGACAAGTGTTCATGTAGAATTCATTTTGGATTCATGTGAGTAGGGTTTGTTTACCATTAGGATACAAGTCAGGAAAACCACACACATAGAAGGTCATAGATTCTGAGGTAATGACAGGATGCTAAGAATATCAATAATGTTCGAATCAATAAGGAGCCATGCTTAATTTTCTTTGATGCCAAAGAGAAAAAAGTCCCCCTATAGTGCTTCTTTACTTGATTGAATTCATTGAAGCTGTCAAGAAGCTGTTTAGATTTGGGAGCTTTTATGAATATAGACATGCAATCTTACTCTATAATTTTTCTGATAACTGTTTTTATCACTGCTGCATTCTGAGAAGGCAAAAACACAGGTCTAAAAATAATCACTGTTTACACATGATAATCAAATTGAATCCTTTTAACTTCATTCTCAAGTGTTTCTATAAGTGTTCACTGTGAAAGAATATCATTTGTGAGTGATATTTAAATTTTTTTTCACTTTTCGATGCTTGATTGTTGTCTGGTTGGACAGAAAGAAAAAGTTGTGCAGTTTTGATAATGGTGCCATGCCCCAGGATTGTGTATTTCAAGATATAATGCTTTATTTCAATACTTACCTGTCCCACCATAGAAACAGTGGTTTTAAATGTTGGGCAATTCATTTAAAAACTGGTGCCTTGCCCAGGATTATCAAAAGTAGTCAAAGTACTGAAACTACTGAAACACAGTCAGGTACTAAATCCATTAAGTTCATCATTTTAAAAACTTCATACTTCTTTAGATTTAAGAGGGTTTAAAAGTTCATGTAATTAAACCAATATGTCAAGGTTTTATGTAGGGGTCTGTGTAAAAATCATGCAGAGGACACACCAAATTTATAAGAATTTACTTACTACTACTTAATGCACAATAAATCAGGAATTTTCCATATAACGTCTGATAAACATCACCCCCTTTGCCATAGGCTTTCAGTTAATTGGGTTTAGAAGAGGTATCAGTAATATATCTTACCATTCAAGCATTTTATTCTCAAGTGATAAAGATGAGTACTAGTAAAAGGAAAAGGGGAAGGAAATTTTCTTACCATACTATTGATATTTATTGTAAACCAGTCATAGTATGTTATTTTAAAACTGTTCATCATGCTGTTTCAAGGATACCATGTAACTAAAACATTGACAAGAAATTGCGCATTTTAAGCTCATGACTACAGAAGCATGCCATGTTTTTTGTTTTATTATCCGCTTGGCACCAACGATCCACATTTCCCCCCTACATGTAATATACGTTTAGATCTCTTCACGGTTATGTTTCATGAAATTCAAAAACAAGGAAGTAGATTACGGGTATGTTATTGGATTTAATTTTATCTCGACAGGTGACATAATATCAGGTAGAAAAAGGAAGAAAATATAACTCAAAGGAGCTTAATTCGCAGTTTTTTTGCATTATTGAACATATGAAGTGTCAATCTTTATTGATTGCTTAAATCTTCACCCTAGTATGCTGCAGTGTTGAGATTTTTAGGGGATGACTACAGAGGATTTTATCTGATATGGTTACTTACTGTTTGACAGTTGCTGGAGAATAGAAAAATGTAACGATTGATGTTCACAATATGCTTTGTATCTTGTTATTTGAAGTGTGAAACATAGTAAAATGGGAATCTGGGAAGAAAAATAAGCATTTCGCACCACGGAATAGACAAATTCATTATAATCCTCTGAATGGGTCCAGTGTGTATATAGTCTTGTAGGTATGACATGTTCAATATCAGAATTGAACTGATTAAAAGAAATTAAGCCCATGTTCTGGTAATTGTTTTTAGCTTGATTAAGAAATGCTTGACCTTTTATTTTGCAGTCTGGATATGCTGCTAAATGAACGAACTAGAGATCCAGAGGAAATTCTAACTAACCTAGGCTTCGTGGGATCTGAAGAGGCAGAGACTGATGATCTACAGCGATTGCCGGGAAGATTTCTACAGCAGCCGTCCAAAGCTGAAGGAATTGATGCCACCTCATTAGACATTAACCGCTTACTTAATTTATCCGAACATGAGGAGATGCTAGAACAAATCAACACGTCCAAAATGAATGCCGACTTCGGGGGACAAGGTAAGTTTTGTCACCATTCTACACTGTCTTTCTTAGAGTTTGTTCCCGGACATTTTATAGACGTGTGTCGTCTGAAGCAACTGGGCATCCAGATTTCTAATGAGGAACTGGCAATTATTGAACAGGAGTATAGTGTAAGAAGTGATGGCAAACTTTTGTTTTCTCCTTGTTATCAAGAGGAGAATTTACCCTTAAGGGATGTTGATATGGAGGTAGAAGAAATTTCTGCCAAACATGGGATGTTCATGAATGTCCGTGTCGAGGAGACGCTTGTTCAAAAGACTGGGTCACAGGGATGTTTGTCGTGCTCAACTGTTACCTCGCAATGCAGCAAAATTTTTAACGTAGTGCTTGCTCCAAATGAGAGTTTAGTGTAAAATCTTGTTAATTTTTTAGTCATTCATGTGCAGTGTAAAATACATGTGATATTTTTTTGGGGTCTTAAAGGCTTCATTTATTAAGCAATGGCTAATTCGTTTACCTACTGCATATAAGCCAAGATAATTTTTTTAGCCGGCCTCTGGCTCATATGCAAATATTGACCAAAATCTTTATGGTCCAAAATATGTAAATGGATGAATTTATTTTATATATATAAATATACATTATGTACATTAATCACCTTTGGACGTGACATTTTTTGTGTTTGCATGATATTTTCTTCAAAGCAGATATAAGAAATGGTTCAACAATAAAGTAAATAAAAGTCATTGATGTCACTATATTTTAGTAGTGGTATGAGGCAGCCTTTCAATATATTTTGGTTCTTTACTTGATAAATACAACTATTTTCTTTGAACCATTTTATACCACTGGCAGCATTTTCTTAACATGCAACAGGTATCGATGTACACATATATTTTGCAATAAAATACCCCTGAAGTGTTTGTATTTCACTTTCAATTGCAACATACTTTTGAGAAAATGAAGAGGGTTAAACCCAGGTAATTTATTGACCTTGACATGTCGCAAAAGATCACTGTTTTAAAAGATAAAACCTCCTACACAAATTGTATCCTTTCCACCCATACTCTAAAGCTGGGTTTGATTGTATGCATATTTGAGTCTTGCCACGTTTCAAAGTTTCCACCCCCAAATCAAACTTTTCACTCAAAGCTATACTGCAAGTACAAAGGCATATCAGCCCTCCCACTCAATTCACTTTTGAAGGGTAGGGTAAACAGATCTACATTGTATTAAGGGAAGATCTTGATTATGCAGGGACTTCTGGACTCCCAATGTGTTGTTTGAGGTGGGGTCATTTTTAATCAGTCTTCTGAATTTATTGTGTCTGCTAAGTACCTTGATATTAATTAAATTTCTGCTTTATGAATTTGATGTTTGTCCAAGAATAAGTGTAGGTAGGCTTGTTATGTTTGATCTCCGTAAATCATGATTTAAGTTAACGCGTCATTTTGTTGAATACATTTTAAAAATGTATGAAGGGAATTTGAGATCAAAGAAAAAAACCTGCCTCTTTAGTTTTGCAGTTCATTGGATACATGTAAAGTTTAAGTCTTTGTTGTAACAGTAATTGAAATCCAAACAATATCTGGGTTATGCACACTTTATCTGTTAACTCGATACATGTATGTCTATAAAGTTAGCATGTATTTTGTCGTGCAGCATACATTTAAACTTGATAATGTGTGTTTAATTTGGGCCCTCTTAGAGTGTAAACGTACCTTAAAAAAAAGTCATGCTGGTAGTGAATGAACTGAATAATCACTTTCTCAATTACAAACTGTTTTATGGTTTTATGGCCGAACAATGGCTGACAATCATGTTATGGGGTTTTTCCTTATTTGCATAAATGCACTTTACTTGAAATACAAATTAGATTGAGAAAGACATTTCTCTGTTACTGTGTTACTTAATGGCAGAATTCGGTAGCAGTCACTTATGAACATGCACATTACTCTTGGAATGCTGCACGAATTTAATGTGTCGACATTTACTATTTTATATCTAATAATTTTTGGTGAAGTTTACTGATAAGAGACACGTTTTTATTCTGAATTCTGACATGGACAGGAATCTTCAGTTATTAGCTCAGTTACAAGGTAAAGGCGATATTTTTATTTATAATTTTCTTTCCATAGATGGTTGGACATTCCTAGAAAAAAAAATCAATTTATGTTACTTATAATAACATTTTTTGGTTATTAATATTTTACAACTGCCACCAGAAATATAAAACCACTTTGGAGAAAAAATAGATCAATTTGATTGGTTCTAGAATTTTTGGTTTAAAAAATATTTTACTTCCTTATAAAGATAACTAAGTCTGTAAACTATGGCTATTCAGATTTTTTTCTATTTTTTTTTTTGATGTTCAAGTGTAGATCACCAAAAGAATAAAATCTTAATAAAATTTAAAAAAAATTGTCAGAAAGGGACATTAATTTCTAAACCCCCTACCCAACTCACCTGTGACCTCATCCTTCCACCCCTAAAAATAACTTGTGGTACACAGATTGTAATATATTAATTGCTAGATTTTCATTTTTTTACCAGTGTCAACCTGTTCAAAAAGATTTAATTTTTTTTTTTTTCTTCTGAAAATTTCTCTCAAGTATTCTAGGCATGATAGTTCCAGGAAGTTTATAAGGCGTACACAGAAATTTAGTGGTTAACCAAGGCCTTATCAAACTTGACTGATACAAGTTGTGTAACATGAAGCCTGTATAAAACTGGTATGATTATTCCAAAATTGGAATTGTCTGAAGTGTATAGTTTAATTGAAAGAAAATCAATTAGCAAAAGATTTTCATAATTTAAGGTGTCCCTGCTTTTAAGATTTGTCTCTACACTTTGTCCATGGAGGGGGGAGATTCAGAATAAAAGTTGATGAACTTTTTGACAAACACATATAAACTCTCTGCCTCTCTTTGAATTCTTTTATAATCTTCACAGTGTTTTAAAGGAATAAGTGCTTATTTTTTGGTGTTTATGGGGTAATAGCCAATCTAGTAGCACATGAAAGTTCACTTTTGCAAAAACTTAAAGTGTATAAATGTTTATCTTTTTCAACTTCAGATAAAATAAGCATTTTTCACCCTTTATATAGGTCTTCAAGATTTTTTTTTATTGTTGCTCCCACCTTATTATGACTTCTCATTCAGATCTAATTTGAATTTTAGCCACTTGCCTATAAAAGTTGTGAGATATCCCATAAATGTACAATTTTACTGTATTTAAACCCATTACAAATTGTGGCATATTTTTTATTCCCATTTCTCCTCTGTTACATTTATAAGGGGAGATCACTCTAACTTCACCACTCTATTTTATAACTTTTTTAATAGTGTTTAGAGCTTTTTTAGTTTAAAAAAAAATACATACAATGTACAATAGCTAAACATTTTTATCTCGCATCAAATTCCAAAAACTCTCCAGAAAATTAGATTGCACAAAAATTTAGAAATCTTTATACTTTTAAAGTTATTATGCTTAAATAGGAAACTAGTTTTGTCATTGGTTTAAACTGCATGCAATCATCAATTATTTTAAATGTTTAAAGATTGTATGAAAGAGAAGTGGGTAATCTTAAATGGGGTTTTGCCTCTTGTAAACATAAATGTTACATGTAAATCTACCAAGTGGCAAATCTACCTTCTACATTTATTTTTTTCCTCGATTAAACTTAATTGTTTCAAACCACAGTTTTTTTCAACTCTCAGAATAAATTCCGTTGAAATTTTTTCATAAATTTAAGAAGCAACTAATGACCAAAAACAGGGTAATAAACCATTTTATGCTGGGTCTGAAATCCATTCTGTAACCCTATTGGACTAGAGGCGACTTTTCTAAAGTGCATGGAATTGTGGTAAATAATATTAATTGTTCTATAAATATCACCATGTCCTAAGGAGACAGTTGAGATGGCTCTATTAAGCTGGCCTGATTAATTTGTGTTCTGTCCTATTTTTCACTGTTGAAATGTAACCACATTATAAAAATGGAGAACTAGAGTGCATGTTGCATCCTATTGTGTGTCAACACTGTGTATCATTAGTGTGTGCAACTGTATAGTTATCATGGATGAAATGCTGCAAATTAATTATGGTAATTTGTTTTTCCTTAATTAATTATTAGTATTTTTGGTTTTGCAGATATTAAGTTTAAATTATTGCTTCATTAACAAGTACAATAAAGGTTTTGTGTTAGCTATTTTTTTTTTCATTATAATTTATGAACATTGTATTAACATATCTCTCCTTTATTAATTAATTTGTTAGCTTGCCGTTTTAAGTAGCACTTTTATTTTTAGTTTTTTGTTTTTGTTTATTTTCTAGGGCATCCCCAGCTCGGTAATGTGCTTGCTTCTGTTATGAATGGCATGAAATTTTTGAATGCAATTAACCAAAGTCACAATCCATCCCGAAACTCCAGCTTTGATTCAAGACAGAGTGATGACAGTGTGCTGCAAAACCCCAGAAATCGCGAATTTCTGGAAAATCAAGGATTTTACAAACGCTACAGTCCAAAACCTCCCAAATCTGAAAAGGTCCCTTCACCAATATCACAAAACAGAATATCTAGGTCACAATCTCTTGATGCATCAGAGAGGCGGAAAAAGTTCCACCAGATGCGATCAAGAAATTTCTCTACGCAAATTGCGGAATCGGACGAGAGCAGTTTATCCCACGAAAAACCCCATGGCAGGGAGAGTAGGGACAGTCGGGATAGTTCATTGTTTAGAAGTGTTACTAGTGCTGAATATTCAGACTCCTTCGAGAGCGTTGAGGGCAGGGAAGATTCCATGGAGAAGAGGAATGAGATGGGAATTCTAGGTGTTCACAATGATGACTGGGATATGGCGAGACCAACCGTTTCTTTGGGGGACATTTCTGGGAGCCTTATTCCCCAAAAATTGGAAGCTGAAAGACAAATGTCCGTGAAGGATGAAATGATAGAGGCTGAAGTGAAAAACACTGAATCTGCACCCTCAGGGTTTAGATCTGCAGCCTATTCATCGGGTTTACAGAAACTTCAGGCCATGCGAAAGAGTTTGGTGCAGAAGTCCATGGCATCGATTGACCTTGACGATGAATATGAAGTGACCTCACCTCCTCTATCGAAACAGTCTAGTCTGGAAAGCACCCTTACTGCCAGAGAATTCCGAGCCAAAACATCCTCATCCTGTACACTTAAACATGAGAGCCTGGATACTGAGGATCAGACAGATTCTGTGTTTACTGTAGAAGATACAGGGAAACCCCTAGAGGTCAAGTCTCAGGGTCACAAAGGTCATGTGTCATTTAGTGACATGAAAGTACCAGAAGTAAGTACCATATACAGATGATAAAACCATATAGAAATGCAAATCAATGAAAATACTAGAATAGCATTACTAGTAGAAAGTTGCAGTTAATCTATAACGTTTGTCCGACATCCCATTCCTAAAATTCCTAAAATACTCAGTCATGCATGAAAGGAAATCAGACGTATGAAAAGTCCAAAGTATAAAATTTAAAAACTCAGCTTAAAATTGAATAAATTTTTATTGTTTCTCTACAAAACCTGTGCTGTACGTGATCATGTCCCTCCCCTCCATTTTTTAAAGTGAGAATTTAGCAGAGAAATACTAGTACCTTTTAAATATGAAAGTATTCAAATTTACGAGAAGATATTCAAACTTCCAGCTAATCAGTAATCTTACTATATATACTGAAAAAAATCACTTTAAAAATTTTGATAAAAATCAGTCCAGAAAGTAACAAAAAGTCTCTACCATATATGTATCCTCTAACCCCAAAATAAATTTAATTTCAGCTGATGATATTTTATCTGTTTGTAGCTGATGCTAAATGCGGGTTCACTGCCTGTCACCGACAAGGACACACTAGGTAAGTTTACGTGCCAGACCTTCAGCAGGTGATGGAAGGGGGCTTTATCTAAATTAAGATGCAAATGCACATATAGATGCTGGCGATGCACCAAAGTGTGACAATTATAACTCACTGATAGGGTAAATTTAGTCCTAACATGAATCAACTGTATCTTACGTAAATCAACTGTAGGGGTAAATTTAGTCTTAAGTAAATCAACTGAGGGGGAGGGGGGATGCTGATTGCCAAAAGATTAATTGTACACCTTAGAGGGGTTTCTTAAATTTTAAAAGAAGCCTAGCTAGCAAAAAAGTTACATTTTGTATGTTTTCTACTGATAATGGCTTTATTTTATGGTTTTTGGAAGAAATCATGCTTTAAAAATCACTTCTAAGTCTAATCATATCTTGGATTCACACATTATTATCAAGTTTTTTTTTAAAGCATGTACTTTGCATTAGAAATTAATGGAAGGAAGGAATATCCTTTGTCTTGATAAATAGTGAGATAAAACATTAGTGGTCATCATTATAGTCAGTTTTGCCTCTGGACAGTTAACCTTTTATTAAGATGGTCAGTGAACACATCTCAGGCTAAGGCCAAGGCCATTACATTCATGGCCATTTTTTATTATTAGCAAGGAGAAAATGACACTCAGAAAGCTTAACTCAAAAGCAATTTATCAAAGATACTTTATGCTGAAAATGGAGCATTGATTTGGAATTTTGAAAATAAGGCCTAATTTTAGGTGGTATGGGACGTATGGAGAGTATTCAGTCAGACAGCAGTGGTTTTGCAGAAGGGGACACGACAACAGACCACCAGTACAGAGATGCAGAGGAAAGGGTAATCTCATTGTAGCTCAATCACAATATCTTACACAGGATAACTTTTTTGGCTCACTTGAGGGAAAGTCTCGACAGAGCTTTTTCTAATCAAGGCTTTTACAGCTAACAAAATTATATTTTTTATCTTTTCTAATCAAGGCTTGTCTGCCATTTGTCTGTCTTTTACAGCTGAGAAAAATAAAAAAAATTTTATCAGTTCAAAAAATTTTAGTGCCAAGAAAATTGACAGAATGCTTTTATTGGAAAGAATTGCTTTGGAATTAATATCAAGTTAAAATTTTCCACTAATTCTGTGTGTGCATGATGACTATTAATACATGTATAATAATTTTCCACTTTCAGGTTTCCAGTTTAGGTAGTAGTGCTGAGAGTGACCAGACATCAAGGAGTAACGTAACAGTCATAGCCAACCACAATCAACCATCACAACAAAGGAAGCCCTCTCTGGGAAAAGACAAGGTCAAGTCCAAAGTGGAGAAAGTGGATATAGCTGTAGGAACAGAGGACATCCACCAATCAGTGGATTCTGGCATAGAGCCATGCGCTCCATCAATTACATATCATGTCCATAAGGGGGAGGAGGGAGTGTCGTCTGCTGAGCAGGGGGGAGAGGAGAGGTCAGTTGTGTTGACCATTGAGCTACCCAAAGACTGGCTGAACAACCAGGGAGGCTCTACGTCAAGTGTTGTGTCACATCTATACAAGAACATTGGAATCTCTAGTCATGAAGTGTCGTCTGCTAGCAAGTCTGCCTCCCATGTGGACATCCAGTCAGCAAGCTCTGTTAAATCACTGACTCATCCAGAGAAAACTAGGACTGATCCCAGGAGGACTGATCCCATTCAATCCCACCTTAATCCCAAGTGGGCGTCCACTCCCAGTATAGTGTCTACCCATAAACAGACAAACAAGTTAAGTGATTCTTCCAGGTATTCCAAAAAGAGGCTATTCAACAGGGCCCCTCTCAGGGAGAATGGCTTCAATGGAAGTTTTGGAGAACCCTCTATGGATAAAACTGATAGTGAAATGAGCAGTTCGTTTGATAAGGAAAGCGAGTGTTCATTTGTGTCTAACACGGACAGTTATTCCAGTTTGAGGGATGAAAATGTGGAATATGTTAAACTTGTGAGGCTCATGAACAAACCTTTATCGTCGAAGGTAAGATTTCTGTTGATGCGAAGTTAAGTAACAACCATAATAATCCATCAGGTTTTGACCTATGAAGACTCAAGTCATTCTGGATTTACATTTTGCTGTGTTTTTCACCTTAACCAACCATGAAATTGATTTGAATGCCATTGACACACAAATAACTCGCACAAAACTTAAACTTATTCCTTATATGTACTTTCTACATGTGAAGAAACACAAAATATTCTCAATGTTTAAATTCTTCCTCCCTTTATATCAATATTTTCTTAATGTCCCTCTGTGCACCATTTTCATGTCACTTTTATATGAATTTTTCCATGCATACGGTACTTCTATGAGAGTATATATATAAACGAAAATGGTTTCAGATAATTTTCTTAGCAGGTAAACTAGAAAAACACTGCGAATGTAACTTTTGAGCGATTTAAGGTATCCGATTCATACAGGTCTGGTACAATCACTAGATTTAGCTACGTGTTGATTTACTATAGCTTTATTTACCTACCTGAGGTAGCTGCATTTTTCTCATATTTTTAATGCAGTGATCATTTTTTTGAACTCATCTGAAAACAACTCAATTTTTGCAATCTAAGTTCTGAAAGTTTTGGGGCTATGTATGACAGTTAGAACAGTTACCCCTTGGATGAAATGACAAAGAAGTCCAGTATCGGTTAACACGATAATAGGTCGGTAATTATTCAGCACAATGTGAAGTAATCATACTCAGTCATGCCTCACCGCATGGACAGCTAACCAAACAATGGAATTACATGTTTTGCTCTAAATTGTCCAAACGCAGCAATGTATAAACTATCTCTGCCTTGGGTTGTTTTTTTAAGCCTGTCTAGTATAAATATCAATAGTCATTTAATTGCGACTTTTTGTCTCTTTTTGATAAAAAGAAAACTTTTGAAAACTTACCTTGAAATATGTAACTTTTCTACCTACGTAGCTTAATCTAGTGATTGTACTGGACCTGTCATAAAAGGACATAATTTTCAAACCTTAAATATCCATCCTATATTAAATACTTCAAAACTAATTCAAAGCAGTTTAGAATAGAAATAGATTTACCAGGAGAAAATTTCAAAAATATAATTACCCAAGCCGTAATTAATTAATTAAGAATGGATTGAAGTCTATGGGAAAAAGCTATTTTTTAAAAATAATAATTTAAATACTATGAATATAAAAAAAAAATGCTTTGGTGGAAAGATGCATATTATTATTAAAGAATTATTATTTAAGAAAAACAATTTAAAAATACTTTTTCACCAGATCGATTTTTTTTTTAAAAATAAATTTTATTGATTAGTAGCAAAGGGGAATAACTCTCCAAGGATGGGTCAAGATAAAAAACTAGGACACAATTTGCTCTTACATATTGAGACTAAAACATGAAGATTATGTCTAAATATACTGAGCATTCAACCAATATATATCTGTTATGCATTCAAATTCATTGAATCTGAGGTTATTATGGATCGGATACCTTAATCAATCAAGCTTGACCTATGAGGACTTATTCTTGATTAATATTTGGACTCTATTTTCCTGAGTAACAATTTGTGGATTCACCAGTCCAATGAAAATTAATGACACCTGAAATCTTAAGTAACCACAAGGACTAATTTATGCAACATCTAAGACAAAATCTTACATAAATGTTAAAACTGCAGACTCAGGTATTCCATAAAAAAGCTATATTCAACAGAATCTATGTCATCAAGCATTATAGAATCTCGTATGTCATCAAGCATTATTTGAGACTTGCGACTTACGACGAAAATCGAAACAGGAAATGCAGTTGTTACTTGGTAAAAAAACATTGATAATGGCTGCTTTTTCTTTTTCTTGATGTTGTTGATAAAACGCACAAAAAGAGAGGTAGAAGAATTTTTCTATTTGTCCGATGCCGAGTTTTCACTTGCCTGCCTTCAAAACCATTTTTTCATTGGAGAAATTCAGAATAGCTTTTATTGAAATTACACTCCACAAAACGCATTTATATTTGTCATAAGTTTGTGTGTATGCATATATATAAGTGGCAGGTGCGTGTCAGAGGTTAAGCCTATTTCTTATATTTACCACTGTTGTTGTTATTTCAATTTTAAGTACTTTTAACAATCTGTTAAAAAGAATTCCCAACATGAAAATATTTTCTTTTATATTTACAAACTTATAACAATATTGTCATCAATGTCGCCTAATTTTTTCTTTTTAATCCATCATCGCAAATTTAAAAAAAAAAACTGTTTTGGAGAAAAAGAATATATATGATTTACATAGATATAGATATGTTGGTATGATTTTATCTAAATCAATTTTATATATTAAAAAATGTATTTTTATCCCCCCCCCCCCCCAAGTAAAAAATGATTCAAGAATTTTTAAAATTAATGTTATGAAATAATTCAAACTATAACAATTTTCCCCCAAAAAGGTTACAATTTGAAAATGAACTGTTTAATAGAAGGATTTATAACAAAAAAAAATCCAATAACCATTTTTTCCCTTTAATTTTAATGAAAGCCTTATCTTTACCTATATATAAACATGCGATGATTTCTTGACAAGCATCAGTACAATCATGTAATGTAAATTTACAATTATTTGTAACTTCATACGTAATGCATGTAATAAATCTGTGATATATTTTTAGTGATTTTTTTTTGGGTTAACTTTTCTTTGTTTTCAAGGAATCTCTTCTTGTTGCCAATTACTTTTTTAAAAAGACATTTTGGATATAAATTGTCTGCGTGTCATCGCGCATTAGTTGGCGCGGTATCTAAGTTATTTTTACCTTTACGCATTAGAGAGTTCCTTTAATGAAAGTTACCATTACCGAATATAAAATTATAAAATTTGTAATTGTACAGAACCGTAAACAAGTAAAATTCCAATCTTTTTTTATAGTTGTTAAATTAATAAGACATGTGCCAACACCCATAATGTAGTTGCTGATTATAAAAAAAATTGTATTTTTATCTTAGACTACAGGATACACCCCCAGCAAATACAGACCTAACCTGAAAGCCTTACCTCATATGGACAAGCATCAGGTAAGTCTTATGCGGTGAAATCAACTTTTTAGTGAGGGTTAACTTTTCTTGTTTTCAAGGAATGGAGAGACCCTCCAATTCATGACAACCACCGAATATAAAATTATAAAATTTGTAATTGTACAGAACCGTAAACAAGTAAAATTCCAATCTTATGAAGGCACTTCTCATTAATTCTGCATTTTAATACTGTAAGGCTGGACACAAAAGGAACAAAAAATTGTGATAAAGAATTATCATTTCTACGTTAAAAGAGAAAAATATTTCAGTAAAGTAGCTGTGTCTGAAAAGGGCCATAAAAATAAAACAAAAAATGTAAACCAGCTGTTTCACATTAACACTTACAAACATACAGATTTATTGAGCAGATTTGGTGCAAGAAATAGTTACTTTTCCATTTTTTTCCTCAGTATTTAGAGGAGGAGTCCCGATTATTACAGCATGCTCTACAAAAGTACAAACGAGAACTTCAGGCCATGGAGACAACGTTTCAAGTCAATAATCAGTTGGCTGGTAAAGAATTAACAGAGGAGGAGAGGTCAGTAACCTCACAGTCTGATAAATTAACAGAGTAAAATTAAGGAGAGTAGAGATGAGAGATGTACAGAGCATATTTGGATTTACCTCCATCTACTTTTTAATTACCCCCCCCCCCCCCCCCGGTAATAAAATTCTAGATACATTAAATACAATATCACCTTGAAATCCTTACATCTAATCATTAATATTAAGAATATATTATTCAAAGAAGAAAGAGGAGATTAAAAATGAAATGATTTACACTGGATGTTGATTCCGTTACAGAGAGGAGATTGAGGAGTTACAGTCCATATGGAAAGAAGTCCGTCGTGAGATCACAGAGACAGAACAGCTGATAGCCAATCGACTGGGCGGGTTAGTGATGGGTAACGACAATTATAACCCACTACTGGCGCTGGACGTCATACACAAGGTAGGCCGGAGCCTGATTTATCTTACCACTGGGCATAGGGTGTCTTACTTTGTGTCTATGGTAACTGGATTTAATCAATGAAGCATCATCACAACAGTAGAATTAATTTGCTATTTCTTTTTTGGCTCACACAGCTGCTTCATTGTTGTAGTAATTTCTATTTTGTTTTAGTATATTGGCAGACTTAGCAAAATGATAGCAAATGTTATATTAGGTTTTGTTCTAATATAAGTGGAAATGAGGTTTATGAATTATTTCCCTTTTATCACAAAAAAATAAAAATAAATAAGCAATGTTTTGGTCATATAACAATATTAATGATTTGCTATAAGATGACAGTGAATTAAGCTTCTAATTCTCTATAACACTGGTTTAAGATTGAATTTATCTGATTTAAACTTTTATTATAGAAATTTATTTTTATGAGAGAATTTTGAGTACATGTACATGCAAATGGTCCAGTCAGGTTTGATATAAATGTTTACCAGGAAACTCTTTTATAAGGACCCGTGTATATTTGTAGATGATAGAACTTATCAAGGAACAGCTGTTTCAGCATCAGATGAGTCAGAACAAAGAAGGAGAGCTGGCTGCCATGGAAACGACCCCCGGTAACTGGGCATCGGAGGGGTCAATGTCAGGAGGCCCCTCTCTTTATGGCGACGAGTCTATACAGGAAAGCCTCTCAGATGTAAGTCAAAACCATGACAGACTGGGATAAAAAAATCTTTTAATTACTGTAGATCACTTAATGACACCTTATTTTTGCAAGATAGTCACTCTTGATGAGTGAGACAAAATTTTTACGAATTGCTCTATATAATCCTAAGGAATACTTTTATATGCAGTTAAATTTTTGCGAGCACACTGTCTGGCGTAATTACGCAAAATAAAGTTCTCGCAAATAAAAAGTGATTTACAGTAGCTAGGTGACAAAATCTTAGGAAAGAACAGAGTTTTATAATGGTTTAAATTAATAAACAATATTTTCTTGAATGGCACAAATTCTCTGTGGAATCGGGGTATCTGGGTCCACTTTTACCTGTCTTGCAATTGATAAAATTGAGGTTAAAGAAATTTCAAGTCTTTTATTATTGTGGTCTTTCAGGTTGTTGTTGGTAAATTCATTTATTTAATTATATTTATGTATGCATCAAAATGCATTTATTACATTGATGTGATTTATAATAATTGGTAAATATACATGTTCATGTGTATTTGTGTTATTAAATCAAATATTATATACACAGAGCACCAGAATTTTGTACAGTTTTATAGATGTGGGTTTATTGTTCAACATATCTAACATCTCTGTTTTAAAACTAAAATCATTACTGCATGCACATATGCATATAATACAAGTATTATAATTTTCAACAATTAAGCCATATTGATTCAATGATAAGTTGGATAGATTGAAATCTAGTAAAATTTTAATTGAAAATGTCATTTGCTTCTTATCCTTGATTTCTTGTCATCTTTTTTAATACAAGTATTATGATTTTTAACAATTTTTCAAAACGCTACAATTTTAGTCTGATTTTAATATTACGTGGCACACAAGTAGACTACACTAAGATACATAGAACAGTGCATCGGTTTTTAATTTCGATGAACGGTGTTGTCATGGTTACTAAAAATAGAATTTTCTGTGAAATTCCTTTAAAACACTACTCCTACAGTTTTGGTCTGGTTTCAAATTTAACTTGGCACACAAGTAGACTACACTAAGATACATAGAATAGTGCATCGGTTTTTAATTTCGATGAACGGTGTTGCCATGGTTACTAAAAATAGAATTATCTATGAAATTCCTTTAAAACGCTACTTTTTTTTAGTTTGATTTCAAAATTAGTTGGCACACAAGTAGACTAAACAAAGATACATAAAATAGTGCAATGGTTTTTGATAAGTACAAACCAGTAGAGCTACAGTCTCGACAGAGACTTCTGGTTTGAAATTGAATTAAAATCATGTGTTCTTGATTTGTAGCTGAAAGAATCCATCTTACAGGAAGTACGGCAAGAATTACAAGACAGTACCCTTTGGCTCCAACGAGAAATCCGGGTAAGTTCATCATTTTACAGGTTTGTCGTTTTGAATATACAAATTAGTGTTTTATATGTGATGTAGATGCGAGTTTCACAACCCTCTTTTATTCACAGATTTATTTAGAATGTTGACTCGGTTAACAAATCAAGGATATATTAATTTTATTTTGATTTGAATTTTACAGTATATGTATGGTATATGTGTAACAACAGTTGAAAGCTCTTTCATGATGGACAGTCTAATTTTGTTGATATATGATTTTTGTTTCTTGAAGAACAAAGAGAGAGAACTGAACAAACTGAGAATGGAGGTCATGTCACAAAGTATAAAGAAAGGAAGGACCAGACAAAAACATTATTATGAAACAGATGTCTGATAAAGTGAAAGTAGAGATAGTCACTGTGAAACTGACGTGACAATTCTTATAGGAAAAGTGAAAGTACAGATAGGCATTTTTAAAATGGCATGTGTGATAATTACACAGGAAAAATTGAAACTAGTAGCAGGCACAAAACAAGTGATTATGCAGCGGTTGTAACATTTTGTGACTGTTTTCAAGTAATGAGAATTTGTGTAATAAGCCAAAAGGACATGCTGAAATTAAACCATATTGTCCAAACTTCCTTCTGAATTTGATTACTGGTGTATACAAACACCAAATGAAACTTTTCCCATGTATACAGACTGACGATAATTGATAATTCTGTTCAAAAAAATGCATTGATTTGTTGATATATAAAACATAGTCTGTGTGTTATTTTATTAACCTCAAAGTTGATGAATTAAGTCTTGAATTTTATTACGTGCCTTTAAAACTGAATTTATCCTTTGTGATGACAGAAGAATTTCTACTATGGATGAAAGTTAAATGCAGAGCTTTATTTATGAAATGCTTTCATTTATTAACTTTTTCCAGTTAGCCTGAAGCAGAGAAAATGCAGATGATATAATGCTGTTTAACAATATTGTGAATGTACATATATGATGTTGATCATTTTATTTTTGATGATGCTTTTTAAATGTTTCATGAAACATTGCTAAGTCTTTCCATAATATATTGTGACTTATATTGGCATTTGAAAATTTCCCTATGAAGATTTTTTTCTTTTTTCATGACTGATATATATTTTGTAGTTTTATAAGCATTGTTATATAAAAAATAATTTAGCAGTTTATTTTGATGTTGTATATTTTTGCCATTTGAAGTACAGTGAAATTGACTGAATCCAAGTGTTGGGTGTTGACCAATCTGTTGAAATGTTTGTCGATTACTATGTTGTCTGGAGATAGAATTTGTGTATGAGTAATTGTTTTTAGTGTCATTTGCAATGATATATGAATGCCAAAATGTGTCAGTTTTTGACATTTCTTAATGTATTGTAATCTTTGTTTTAGTAAATTAAAACTTTTTATGTCATTGAAATGTTTAGCTTGTATATTGCAATGAACAGTGTTTTAATTAAAGTGATTTTATTACATTCCTGTCAAAAATAAAATTATTTTATAAAGACATTTTTATTTTTAAAAGTTGTATAATATACATGAACATGTATTTATTTGAAAGTTGTATGAAGATATATATTTTTTGTCACCAATATCATAAGTGTTCTTACTTCTAATCGAATATGTAAATTTTTTAATCTTATTGTTGCCTAAAACTTGAAAAAACAGATACACAAATAACAGAGATTAAAATAACAAATCCTCTGTGAACAGCTCTTTTGCTATTTGCAAAAACATGTTCCAAGCATGATAATTTTCTTCAAATTATATTTATTGGTTCATTTCATTCTAAAGTTTTATTAATTTTATAGTTTTTATTATAGAATTTTTAAAGTTTTAAAATACATGTATTATAAATTGATTAACAGAAGCAGCTTGTCATAAATAACAGCTGATAATTGAAAGTTGGCTAGAGATATGGTGACCATTGCTAATGTTTGAAATGATGCAGCTTTTGCTATTGTGACCAACTCACCAAAATGAGAAGTTAAACTAATTTTTTCAGATGGATCCAAAAAGATTCATTTTCATAAATCTTTCATAATTTTGATATTATAAGGGATACAAATTGGTGTTTATTTTCTCCTCAAAACCAGGCAGACCTTCAGATACTGTAGAAGTACTTTTTTCCGCGTGGTATTAATTTACGCTTTGTACGCGGACACAAACTTTCCGCGGAAATTTGTCCTAGCGTACTTAATATAAATGTACGGCATATAGTGACAATCTCGAAAAATCCGCGTAATTTTCTTCCCGCGGATTAAACAGAAATTGAGATTCCGCGGAATTATGACCCCGTGGAAAAAAGTACGTCTACAGTAATTTAAGATTTCAAATCTCTGTTATTTCGTGTCTCTGGTAGAATTTGGTCAGTTTCATGGCACAGTGTTTATTTTCTGCTTTGCTCAAAAGTTCGGCCATACTAAACATTGTGTACTCATTTTTGCCCTTCTTTCAGGAAGATAAATTTATTTTAAAGACAATTTGATTTTTTATGACTATTTTGAAAGATCGTATTTCCTCTAAGCTTCTTTTAGCATTGTATCACTGTGTTCCATGCATTTGTTACACAATTCTAGTGTCCTTTTTATTATTATTATAGACCTTTATATTAGCTTGTTTTGTTGATCAAAATAGGTTTTTATAAAATTATTCAGTTGAAATTTACAAGAAGTAAAGCAATAGTGATTAACACATTTAAACAGGTTCTTTGACATGGTGCTAGTAATTTTTAACATGAACTATTATGTCTTTCCATGAACTATGCTTGTGTTGTGTGCTAGTGAGAACTGGATTGTTTTCTCAATCTTATTTCCCATTTTGTCTGTTTTCAGTCACATTTAGTCTATCTTTTACTTAAGAAATTGTTGTACTGCTAGCAACTGCAATTGACCAACTGTTTGCATTTTATTGATATGTGAAATAAATTTGATTGCATTTTTAACTGAACGAAAATTAGTATGTTCTATTTTCTTGTTATTGGAAAGACATTATTTATGTTTCTATTCCAAATGTGATTATAATATATTGATATTCATTCCTTGATTGTTTTCAATGCCTAGTTATTTAACAAAACCCTCTAGGCCTAGTTCAATTCATTTTTAATTGTTTGTTAATTACATGAATAAATCTTTGAAAATCTGTGTCTTTTTTTTTAGGAATATTACAAAATTTATTTCATTTCTGTTGATCTGAGTGACTTGCATCACTTAAATGTTTGCAGTAGTTTGTAGTGGGTAGAGAATAAATACAGGTGTACAGTCGGATCTGGTTATTTTGAGCTCTACAGAGGGGAATCAAATAAGTCAGGATTCAAAGTGTTTGAGTTAAGTTCAACTGTAAATTGAATTTAAACAAAACATATCCAACATTGATCTGGATATAATAGAAAAAAGGGCCAGTTCCCGATTTTCGTTATTGTCATACAATGTATCGCTTTATCTTTACTTTTACTGTGAATACTAGTATTTAACATCTTTTGTGAGAATTCCACAACTTTCCCTGTATATAAGGAGTGGTTGAAGGTTGTGAGAATTGCGATCCTTGTGCATTGTATATATTCACTCTTGACATGATACATCTACACAACTTATTTTAGAGGGAAACGTACCTATTTGGAGAGAAGGGAACTTTATTGGGTGGAAAGCAAAGTTTATACAGATCAAGCTACAGGCACCTGAAGTGTTGAAAAATATAAGCACCGAAAATTCTCCAAAATAATAGATTTTCCCGTCGATGACATCCATATTTCATTTAATGCAATGAGAAGTTCAAGATTGGCCATATGATCAAAATACACTACAGAACAGAATAATTTCGAGTTATCTTTCTTTGATCGTACGTTAGAAAATTAAGATGTGAAACAAACACCAGGTGTTTTATTTTTGATTTGCCCAGAGGTGGGTTACAAAAGAAAGCGAAAAATAAAAACAAAAAAAACAAATAAACAAAAATGCAAAACAAAACAAAGAATTGAGGGGGAAAAAATTAAAAAAGAAAAAAAAACAAACAATATGAAATGAATATACTGAATACATTGCACGGTGTCTCAGCATCCTAAGGTCATTGAATTGCATGTAATCCAAACATTAAAGATGGTATAAAAGGAACTTCACCTCTGACTTTGAGTTTGCATGCTTTCTGATGGTCTTCACAACGTCAGAGGTTCGTGAAACACGAATGCTACCTTATCATGCTTATGGCAGTTCAATGAGCTATAGGCAAAGACTAAAGTTTCTCAAATGAATGTCATACTCCAAGGTCTCTTCAAAAGACAAAAAGGTACCCAAAGAAACGTATCTTAGCTTATAAGGAAAACACCTGTGAAATAAAAAAAAAAACCCTAGCTCCAAACTAGCATAAAACAAAAGGTATGGCCATGGTTCAAGTTTTTCACAGATAGGTCAAACTCTAAGGTCACAGTAAAGGGTCAAAATTGTTGGTATCTAAGGTAAGGTCTTGTCACAAGGAATATTTGAAATATACAATTCCTTGACCTTACCATCCAAAAGTTAGGCTGAGGTTAATTTTTTTTTTACGAAAGTATTTAATCCCAAGGTCAAAATTGTTGTACTAAAAGGCAAGATCTAGTCACAATTTTCTTCTGAGAGACGAAATCAGCACAAGCAGTTCAAAAGTCATATCCGACATCAAATTTGTTTAAATATAGGTCAAAAACTAAGTTCAAGGTCAACAGTTCACATAAATATATTTTTACCCAAAATCTTAACTTATCACAGAGACATAAAAACAAGAGTGCTGACCAAGGTTAAAGTTTGATTAAATTTCGCAAAAGTGGGATAAAACCCAAGGCCAAGGTCAAGAGGTTTAAAAATGTTTTGATACCGAAAGAAAGGACTTGCCGTTCATGTGAAATATGAAAGCAATAGTTCCAACCAATCAAAAGATACGAGCGAAGTTTTTTTTTTTTTAGATAAACAGACGAACAGATAGATAAACAGGAAGACAGGTCCCCCCCCCCCATCTTCAAATACATGGGCATAAAAATCAAGTATCGTACATAAGAGAAAGGATTAGATACATGTATTGTTCAAATGTAATTTATAAAAAGAATTTTGTCAGAAAATTTTCAAATTCTACGAATACATACATGTAAATATATTAGGATTTATTTTATTCGGGGTCAGAATTTTTTCTTTCTGTCCGTCCATTGTCTGTGTTTGTCCACAGAAACTTTAACCTTGCCCAACACTTGGCTGCTTTGAGCTATTGCTTTAATTCATAATGTATGTGACACTGTATTGTATTGAATATGACAAGACCTTTCCTTGGGTACTGACGTATTCAACCTCTTGACTTTGACCTTGGAGTTTGACCCACATTTTCAAAATTTCATCAGACATTAACCTTGGCCATCACCCTTGAACAGTTGGGGCTAAGACTTTCATAATTAATGTGTATAACCATGTATAAATATTATCTTGGGTACATTTTTACCGTTTGACCATAGAGTTTGACATTTTGTTGAAAAACTGTAAAATGGGTATCAACATTTACGGGCCTCTGACCTTGCAGTTTGATCAACTTTTGAAAAGCACTTCCTTGGACAGAACTGTGAACTGTTGGTGCTAGGGCTTTCATATTTAAAGGGTACACTTCTAGTGAAAAGACAATTTCATTGAGTACCAACAATTTTGACCCTTTTGATCTTGATGCTTCATTTGCTTTTGTAAAAAAAACTTTAACCTTGCTTGAGTATAAGTTTTAATGGTTTAATATCATATGACATGTGTATTACTCTCTACCTGATCAGTATGGAGGGCTCACAGAGGTGACCAATTAACAGGGGATAGTAACTCCTCTTGGGCACCTGACCCACCTCTGGAAATTCCAGGGGGCCATGTTTAATCCCCTTATCATAGATTTGTATTGTTTTAAAATTTTTATGCCCCGCCACGAATATGGCTGGGCCATATAGTGTTTGTCATGTCCGTCTTCCGTCCTTCTGTCTAGGTGTTTGCGTCTGTTCTTTCGTCACACTTTGCGTTTAGTTAAGTTCAAAGCTCAATTTCAAATAAACTATGCAAAATATTTTCATCAAACTTCATATGCTCTTAGATATTGATGAGAGCTATGCAACGGTATCAACATTTTAGACCTTGACCTTTTCTTTGACCTTGACCCCACTTTTCTCAAATAAGTGCTTTGCTCAGTTTTAAACATACCATTCAAGATAGTGTTATCAAACTTCATATGCTGATACATACTGATGAGAGCTTTTATCTTGACCTCACTCTTCCTAAACCAGTGTCAAACTTCATATGCTGATACATACTGATGTAAGAAATTCAAATGCATCATTTTTTACCTTGACCTTGCATTTAACCTTGACCTCACTTTTATCAAATTGTGTTTAAGTCAGTTTTTAAGAAATCATTCAAAGATAATATCAAACTTCATATGTTGATACAAATTGATGTGAGATATTCAACTGCATCAACATTTTTGACCTTGACCTTTCGTTTAACCTTTTGACCTCATTTTTCCTAAATTAGTGTCAAACTTCGTATGCTTATACATATTGATGTAAGCAATTCATCTGCATCAACATTTTGAACCTTGGCCTTCATTTGACCTTGACCTTACTTTTATCAAATTGTGTTAAAGTCAGTTTTAAATAAACCATTCAGAACATGTTTTCAACTTCATATGCCGATACATACTGATGAGATGAGCTTTTCAACTGCATCAGCAATTTTTTACCTTGACCCTTCGCTTAACATTTTGACCTCATTTTTCCTATATTAGTGTCAAACTTCATATGCTTCTACATATTGATGTAAGCAATTCATCTGCATCAACATTTTGAACCTTGGCCTTCATTTGACCTTGACCTCACTTTTATCAAATTGTGTTAAAGTCAGTTTTAAATAAACCATTCATAATATTTTTTCAACTTCATATGCTATTACATACTGATGAGAGCTTTTCAACTGCATCAACATTTTTTGACCTTGGCATTTCCTTTGACCTCACTTTAAAGAAATGATTGTCAAACTTCATATGCTGATACATACTGATGTAAGCAATTCAATTGCATCACTACTCATGATATCCTGATCAAATTTCATACACCAATACAAATTTCGTGTTGCATTACCAATATACCCTAAGCGGGGCATTCATGTCCTATGGACATATTTTTAGTTTAGTCAGACACAATTATCATCTCCATCTTTTTCATCGTAACAAAACCTCCCCTTGGGCAACATATATGTTGACCCTTTGAGCTTGATAGTTAATTTTCTTTTGGAAAACTTTAACTTGGGTAATAATTTTGAATTGTTGGCACTAGGACATTCATATTTCACAAGTACATCTTGTGAGAACCTTTCTTTTGGGTACAAAGAATTTTTGTTTAAAAATCTTTTTTCTTCGACCTTGGAGTTTGACTTACATTTGAGATATTTTCACCATGCATGTACCATAAGCTGCCAGATGGGGGTATCAATGTATCAAATTCAACACTTTTGTTTCTCAAGTTAACTTTCCTGTTTATTCATGAATTAAGTGATAGGAACACCATTTCAAGTTTTATGATTTATTGCATGAAAAACATTCATGATTTCAGGTATTTACATACTTCATAGGATTTCACAAAATATCACATCACTTTCACCTTCCTGTGCTTTGATTTGTATATCTATCAAATAATGTGATATAAATGTATAAGTAAGGATATTCAGAAACATTGTGATGTATATTGGGTGTGATTATAATGATTAAGTACGTTAGATTACTACTTCAAATTTTCAACAAGACTTCTGAACAAAAAATCTGCTGATTGATTTTTCTGTTCTCAAAAACTTGTTTTTTCCCCCCTTACAAGTCCCTTTTTATTGCACAGGAAAATTAAAGAAAGACAACTCTTACATTTGCCCAAAGAAAACGATACATGTATGTCATGACACAGACAACATATAAACATTATGCTGACCCATACAAGACTAGAATATCAATTAAGATCAGGAAGCAGCTAATTAGGATTTCTTATCCATTCCTTATCTTCAGGACTTAACTCTTAAACCATCTAATGTTTGAACCTCTCTACCTAAAATCACCAGTTAACAATAACAAATTAACAGAATTGTTTCTCAGTACATAAAAAAAAATCATACAGAACCAAATATATTGTTCAGGAAAAAAATTTACATTGTAGCATACTGTTTGTATAAGCATCTTGAAAGTAACTTAGGATAATGAAACAAAATATCACAAAAAAGAATTATGCTTAAAATTAAAATGTACGTGTTTCACTCGCATTCTCGCAACCCACTATAATCACAGATTTATGAACAATTCTTGTGTGCACATCATTCATACAGTTTAACACAATAAATACACTTTTGTAACATACAATTTCTATACATCAGTTGATTTCACATCTATCAGCATTTATCTGAATGCTGAAATGAAAGTGACATGCAACAAGTGGTTAAGATTTAAAGTCGAAGCAAGAAATACAATGCAGGTTTATTGCAAGAGACTTTGAAGCCCTGTTTATGCTTATATTTTGTAACAGAGTAAATTTTTTTTAATTAAACTACTTCTATTTCATTTCTAGGTGGCATCCTCCACAGTACAGGGCATTGTTATGCCTTCACTCAGGCATGGCAAACATGGACACACAGCCATTTGAACACATCATTGTCAACAGTGGAAGATAACACAAATATACATTTATATTGCCAGTTTATAGGTCAATAATGGATTTCTTAATGAACACCATCACAATATTTGGATATGGATCTGCATCAGCAGAAGTCTTGAATTTGACAGAGTATATTGCTTTTAAAACAAGCACCGAGTTGATTGAAATCTGTGCAGTCATCCATATGTTTGTAGTCCAAAAATCCAAACAGCACAGGACATTTGATTGTCATCAGATTTCTACACCAGACCTTTCTACGAATCAGAGTCAATTGGAATCTGTATAAAGTCAGTCAAATAGCCACTCCATTTTCTTTTATTTCTTGTGGACCAAGAGGTTCATAGGTTGGCATACAATGCATGATGAAGCTACAGTTTAGCATATGGCACTAAAAGCACTCCTTTACACGACAACAGCCAACAGGACTACAATGGATGAGCAGGCTTTCTTTGGAATTGGGAAATTGATGGCACAAAGAGATGAAAGGACCTTTATTTCTGTCTCAAACCTTCAGTGTTCCTGCTGAAATGAAACAAAATTCACATTTAGAAAATAATTTTTCAGCAGTTTTCAGACAAAATTAGGAATACTTAAATGGGGCCTGATTAATACATGTATGTAAACAAGCAATTGATATAAAAAAAGCAAGCAGTGCTGCATGTCATAGAATGTGAGGATGAGAACTTACGTAGTCCCTCTTTAGAAGCGGGTTCTACGTTTATTCCACTATCTTGCCCCTCATCTTTAGAATCCTCAGACTTATTAACAGAGAGTTGAGGTTGGAATTTGGGTCGGCATGCTTTTTGTGGGACAGCGTTGGGGAAGTTAGGTTTGTTGTATGAAGCCCCACCCATCACTAGCCATGGGGCTAAAATTCACAATTTTGGAAGAGGCACTCTTGCTCATCATAACTATGCACTTATTTTGTTTATTTAATACCCAGAAGCAGAGAAGAAGATTTTCAAAGAATTCATGTATTTTCACTGCATATAATCTAAAGAGCCCCCCCCCCCCCCCTACACCAGCTGACCCTGGGGCCATCACAATTTTGGTAGAACCACTCTTGCTCATCATAACAAAGCACTTAGTTAGTTAATTCAATACCCAGGAGCAGAGAAGAATATTTTCAAATTCATGTAATTTCACATATAATTTGTATACTACCATCTATAAGTGAAGAGGATTTGTGTTACAAAGTGCTGGGCAAGTCTATTGATTAATGATGTATTCTATTTGTGTATTCCTTTACTTCTGTATCATATAATTATTCTAATTAGTTAATTGAGCTCACCATGTTGAGAATATTTTGACTGACTCTGTGAGGCAGTTGATCCAGAAGGAGAGTCTTTCTTGTTGGGCCACTTTCCTGAAAAATCAAAAAATTACATCTAAAATATTATATTGAATTTCAAATAATTCAGAATCTACAATCAAGAAATACTAACACTCCATTTCTAACATCCAATGATGGCCTACCTTGGTCCATGAGTTGTTTCTTTCGTTGTGACTTGGGATATGGTTTGCGTACGACTTCGCTAAAGTTGCTATCAGTGCTGTATGGGCTGGTGGGGCGGGGTCTATAGTGTCGCCTCTGTTTCTTCACAACTACAGAGATTATAAATAATTAGTCATCTAGTACTCCCATCTTTAATTGTATAGCTTGGGTACAGTACTCTTTATTGCAGCCATTCATATAAAAGCACCGTTTTCACTGTTGTACACTATCTTACAATAATACAGTACTAACATACTAACTGATAAATACATTGTACCTAAATTTTAACATTCGACCCAAATCCAAGATAATATTTCTACAATTTTGTAACATGCCAGACAACCTGAACTAATGAAATGAATTCTAATTCAGTGATAGGTAATGACAGTACAGGAAGTTGCTAGGATTTTATTTCACACCTTGCTTGTCTGCGTTTGGATCAGACACAGTGGACCCCACCACTGTTAGCCCCGACATTTCTGCCGCTTTGGCGACAGTCTCAGCAAAGTCAGCCTCATTTAGGAATGCTTCGTCACTGTCACTATGACAACTGGAATGATCGCTACTGTCCTCCGTGTTGCACTGATCTGTGTAACTGGGCCAAGTCTCTACGCCTAGGGGGGAAAAATGTGCAATTTGTAACCTCAAATTTCTGATAAAGCTTTCATTTCAGGAAAATCTGGCATTAAACAAAACTCTCTTCAAAATGCACCAATCACCGCAAAGATTGCTAGTATTTTCAGATTTTGTGTTAGAAAGCAAGGCTTTGGAAGCAACTCCTAGACATTTTTCTTTTCCAGAAAAGAACTAGATAAGATGCTCAAGATGAAGCAAAAGTATTAGAGAGTAGAATATTGTATGTACTTAAGAATGAGCTATAGCAATAAAGAGTACCTATATCCAGTCTAAATACTATATATTCTAAGCATCATATGTCATAAGCAACCGTTCCAACATGTGATCATAATTTGTACATGTATATTCTAAGTTAATCATCTACATAATAAATCAGTAATACTGTTGTGGTCTAATAATTCATATCATGCATCATCTTTGCGCAGCTGCAGCAAGCAATATATCACATGACACTAATCAAATTTAGAATGAGGCTCTCAGAGGCAGAAGCAGCAGTAACATGTCCGGTTCTGTGTTGGGCAGAAAAATAAGCTTACACAACAAGCCTTCCTAGCTACATAGCTATAGCTAACTCAGTGTAGCTATAGCTACATCAATCATGTGTGACAGTTTGGTATATGCTAAGCTAAGCATGCATGAAGTGCTCAATACAAGACAGGAACATAAGATTTTGTAAATTCAAAATATTGCATCGTTATTAAAGTTCATAAGTGATGAAAGACTTTTCTGAACTTGTTCCTTTATCAAACATAATTAAGTTGAATTTTTGAAGTTTGAAAAAAAACATTCCTGTCATCATAAAAGCTAAGCATATTCCAGCATACATGATGTTTTCTGCTCTGGCAAGCAAAAATCACTGACACACACATGAGCCCGTTTGCATCATCTTGATAATACTTATGCAGAAGTTTCGAATTTTCAATTTTCATAAATGTATTCTGACAAGAGCAAAAAATTTAACTTTTGGACCAAGTGTGATAGTTCCGTAAAGCAATGTTTTTTAAGCAGATGATGCAAACCATGTACTTTATCATCACACTCAAATCTGCCCAATACCTGACATGTTACCAGCCTCCTCCTGCCCCTCCTTTTCTCCCTCCTTTCTGGGAGAGTTCTCATCCTCCGTCTCCAACTCAGTGGACTCACCAGCGTAATCAGGACCATTGTCCGAGACAGGCGAGTCAGCATTTCTATGGTAACCATCCACTCCTATGTTCATGTGGTGGCCATCCATTCTAGTAATTAGAAAGAAATTTAATTATCATAAAGTTCTGTAAACATGTAACATTAAAAACTGAAAATAATGCTCATATTCAAATCGACATAAATTGATTTTAATTTTTGTTCTTTTCAGAGACTTACTTATTATTATGATACACAGGAGAGCAGGGCTCTGCCATACTGGACTGACAGGGATGGTCCATGCACTGCCCTCCATCTCCATGTACATTATAAAGTCCTGGGTAGCTAGGAGGCATGTTGTATGAACTAGACGGCCCTTGCTCCGACTCGTGTAAGAACTGATAGTCATTTTCACAGTGTGGCACAATCTTATAGTTCTGAAGTTGTGGCATGGGGCCCCCTTGCTCTGGATCACTGTGACATGTCCGACACTTGAAGTCTGTTGGAGTGCCCCGCGAAGCATTCATGCAGGCTATTGTCCGCTGACCCCAAGTGTCATGCCCCCGGGGGCAGTTATTCCACTCTTGCCCTCTGGGGGACTGAGTTCTTTGAACCATATTATACTGATTGGGTGGGTAATGCACATTTTCAAAGTACTTAGGGGAACAACACCTGACACAGCCTGTATCAGAGTAGGCGGGCATGTTCCACCCTGACACGGGGGTCGCATTGTGGGGGACAGGACAAGAGCAGGAGGAGATTTTAGACATAGGAGACATGGGGCTCCGTGCCCCCATTTCACGGTTCAGACAATTGATCTCGGCGTATTGCTGGGATGTAGAGGAATTTCCAGATGAATGTTGAGACATGTTCATTTCACTTGGGGGTGGGGGATGTTCGGGGGGAGGGGGGAGGAATTCTGCCCAGTTCACCATGGCCTGTTTGGGTTGTGTGATCTGTTTGAGTGGCTTTTTTCCTTTCTTCAGCAGAAATCCATTTTCATCTGTTGTGTGACTTCCACTGTCACTGGTTGGACTCTGCATAGCATCTGCATGATCCACAGGAACTCCTAAAGGGAAAATAAACACAAAAAATTAGAAAAACTTCTATTTTTGGAAGTTATCCGAATAAAGCATATCATCTTATATTACTTTCTTCCAAGATTTTTCAATAGTATATCTCCACTGATAACAGAAGAATTTTATTGCTACTGATGTTTACAAGATCCAGATGCAAAGTTAATTTATCAGACCAATCAGAGCAGCTGTTACATAATTGATATACTTCTTTCATCAAATAAAACGAGTTTGGAAAGGTTGATAAAACTTCACACTGATTCTGACAGTGAGAAGCACATTTCCTTAAAACAAAATACCACGACCTGTAATTAATGGACCCAGACAACAAATCTATTTAGCTGCTATAACTAATTACCAGCTCTCATCATTGCTTCTGTTATAATAATGCAAGCAATCATATTTTTTTGCAGTGTGGCATAATGGGAACCCTTTGTGTTGGGCATTAATCCAGCTTTCAGAGTTTGGAAACAAATAGGCCAAAAAAATTCCTGAAGATTGCACAGTGACAGGCAAAAATTTGAGTAGCACACAGAATCCATTGTCTGCTTTCAAGATTTCAAAATAAATAGCCCAAAAAAGCATTTCTAGAGTCATTGCCAAAGTCTATTGTTTCAGCCATCATAAAAATGCAAAAGAAACTGATGAGAATAGAGAATATTAATGCATGAAAAAAACCTTGTACGAAGGTTCTTTGCAATGTAACAAATTAAGAAGAATAATGGGCCAAAAACACAGTACATATATGAAGTCAGACCCAATTTCCTAAGTTGATACTGACCAGTGTTAGAATGGCTAGTGTTAGAGTCGCCGCTACACTCGTGCTTACAGCACCCTGAGTCCCCTGACCCACTCTGTTGACTGTGCTGAGTGATGGGGCGGAACATGTGATCCTGCATGGAGTGCCCGCCCACCGCGTTCCCGGCGTTGATCAGGGTGGTGGTGGCATACGGAGCCACAGGATCCTTCTTCTGATAAAAAGTCTTCATCTGCGGCACGTTGTACACACTGGGCCCCTGTCCCTGCTGCATTTCCATGTCCTTCTGTTCCAACAGCTGAGCAAACTCGGGGGCCATCTGAGTCATACCTAGCAAAATAAAGAGAGTGCATGGTATAGTAATTATTCAAGCATTTCTCCCTAAGAGAAACTGTTTTTTTGTGTGTGGCAGAATAACAGGAATATAAACAATTTTTTTTGTTTACCTCCTGCTCGATTCTGCGCATCTTTTTGGCTGTATCCATATTTAGCATAATAATTAAAGCTGTTTCTATTGCTGTCATCAGATTTTGCATAGTTGGGAACTATAATACAAAAGAAAGTAATTTTATACAACATGCAAATTTCCAAAAGATGGGGCTGGGAAGGGAGATAACTTTGTCACATTAGAAATTATTTAGTAATACAAAGATACAAAATAGTGTCAAAGCAGTACAAACATACACAATTTTAAGAAATGTAAAATTCTTCAAGTCATTAGATAAACATTCTACAAATACAGAAATTTGAGTCTTCACGGTATATTCATAAATCTAGCAAACTATATGAAATCAAAGTTTTAGAAAAGAATAAATATATACACTTCAATAGCCTTACCACTGTACATTTCCTGCATTTTCTGTTTCTTCATGGCTTTCCTCTTTCTACACAGCCACACCACAAAGATGCACAGCGCGAACCACAGTGTGACCCCAATAATACTGATCAGGAGTCCAATGAACCAGGGCTGCTTCATCAGGCTCTCCTTCTCGGGTCCTACAAACAAAAATTTATTAATTAAATTTTATTTCAATTTTCCCTTTTTAAACTTAATTTTAGTTTCCAATCTCTCTCATACTTTGTTGAATTTCCATACATTTTTTTTTTTTTTGGAAAAATGAATTTTTTCAACACAGTCACAGTGAATTTAAGGTCAGCTGTTCAAAATGGTGTCAGGATAGTCAGATTCTGGAAAGTTCAAACTGTACTGTACTCAAAGCAGTGTATGCTGAATTACTCATCACCTTATTTGATATTAGTCACAAGCTTACGTCTTGAAATAATCAAGCATAGAAGCAAGGGGAAAAAAAAAAATACAGGGATTAATCTGTCAATACAAAGACAGACTATTATCAGTCTAAAAAATCAACTTTTTTCCCCCAGTAGCCAGGAAAGTTGGTTCCCTCTAGCTTGATTAATGTCACACTTGCTTTCTAATTAGACAGATCAAATCACAAAATTGAGAATTACCATAACATATTTATCATTCTGTAATCGAAATATCCAGTTATTAGCAGAGGTTCTACCAATAGGCTCAAAGAGTCCCCCAGTGCTAAAGTTTGTCACCGTTGGAGACTGGCTTCAACATGAGCAGCACAAGATACAATCATGTCGCTAAATTCAACTACCCCCATGTGTCTCGTGCAACTGCCATTGTCTTGCAGATGACTGCTTCGCAACAAAGGACAAGTTAAATTTTCATTTTGAAAGCTCGCCAAAGCATATAAAATATCCCACATTTCTAAAGAGATTGTCTTTAATTGTGGTTATGATACAAGAAGATTCAATTTTGCTTGACTGCCATTTTCTATTGCTTCATTGCAATGATAACTGTTTATCGATAAATGGCCAGAGAGCTAGAAAACAATAAGAAGGAATTTATCTATGTTGCACTTGACAGATCACAGTATCACTCTTCTGTCAGTGGAAGTGAAAATATTGTTTCATATCTTTCTCCATATTATTTGCTACATTGAACGTCTCCTTACAATGCCATTTGAAAATTGGCGAGACCGTTATGTCTTTCCAGCATTTAACGACAGACCAATGAAATTTCGCAATAAATAAATTTTCATTAAGTTCTGATAGAGTTATAAAAGTAATCAATCTATTGTATGGAAAACTCATTAATTTGAGCGATGCATCAAGGGAAATAAAATGCTTCATTTCAGCTTGGATGGAGGCAAAAAACTTCAAAAGCCAATTCATGTGACAATGTTTTAGTTAACTGTTTAGACTGTTATGCTTTGATTGGATTCCTTTTTTTAAAATAAGGATTCAAGACACTTAACTTCTGTGTGAGGAACATTTTTTCACATTGTTAGAAACCCTTCGACCATATGGGAATTTCTCTTTACGATGCAGTTTTAATGGACAAAATGCATTTTATTTTCTACATATAACGCTGATGAAAGGGATAGGAAATAAACGTTTCTCTAAAAAAGTTAGCCTAATCACTAATGAAATTACAGCCACGAAAAGCTAATTTCCGCCATTAAAAAAATTGCGTTGAATTCTGTCCGATTGCTTGAACTAGCAAGATTATGAGCTCCTAAAATGCAATTTTATCACTGTAAATGAGTCACTTGAGCCAAGAGCAAGAGTGTCTTTCTCTCCAAATATGGAGGACAAGTGCTCAAAGTGACAGCCAACCTTGCCCCATCACCTTTTAAGATCCAATACTTCAAATTTTTTGTCACTTGGAAATGAGCAAATTTTTTAGGTGTGCCACTCAGCTGGGCTCGTAAAATCTTGTTTTTATTATTTGAAAGGAACCAGTCTCCCGCTAGACTGAGAGGGTTCAGGGATCAGGTGACAGGCCCTCTTAAGTCTCACAGATTAAGACTCAATTTGCAATAGTTATCTAATTCCTGCCATCAATCACGTAGCGTAACCATTTAGGTCTTCATATTTCAAAAGAACAATGGCAATGCTCTTGTCAGTCTCAATTTATGCCTTAGATGCCTTCAAATTTTTCCACGATTGGAGGAAATATATAGCATGACATTAATAAAGCAATGCATTTAATTTTCTTCTGCAATTGGAAATATTCTGGGAATGCAGTGCATTTTAATGAGTGATTGCATCACATCAGTTGAAGAAATTGTCATTTGAGACATTAGTTGAAGTGTTTTATGCTATCCATTACATAAAAAGAGGACATTTCATGTGTATTGCAGGCAACATTTTGCACGAAATTATTCCTTTGTGCAATATTGGCCTTTCAAACTTAATTTCCACTCAGGTTGGATCAGCAGCATTAGCACCAGTTTAAGTAAATAGAAAAATGTTGACCTTAAATCAATAAAGACTGTTTTAAAGTCAACCTCAAATTCAAAACTCTTAAGCAGTCTTTACGTCAATTACTTGCTACAATAAACCAAACAATTCTAGCCTTTGCTTCACTGATAGAAATAAAATTTTCAGTTTCAAAAACCTAATTTTACACTCTATGTAATGAAATTTTAAGCATACCTAAAATAAAGTTTTCTACTTCTGAAATTTCAATGTTGGGGATATTTACCAATGATATATTCCTTGCTCCAGGATCCCAGCCCGCTGATGGTCCTAGCAGCTATCTTGACCGTGTATGTCTGGTCAGCTTTCAGGTTCTCCAACACATAGCTCGTGTGATTGGCCGGTATACTTCTACTGCAGTTGTGCTTGTTCTCTTTACTTAGGCAGGATATCTACAACAAAATTATATTTTTAATATCAAGAAATATGCCTTTTTCAAATTTTTAAAATTCACATCAAGAAAGGAAGTTGATGTTTCTTTGGTTGATGAAACTGAAGAAAATATTGTAAATTTCTTCTTTTATATGGAAAATATTTCATATTTGTAAACCAATATTCTAGGCCGTGAAAATACTTGTGGATGAATTTTATTCTGACAAATCATTAATTAAATTTATCGCAAATAATTGTTACTTATGATTTTCAGCATTAATGTATTTACCTCATATGACTTGATGTTGGAATGTGTGACATCATTTGGAGGAAGCCACTGCATGGAGATGCTGGTGTCATCAGTTTTATGTATGACCACGTGGGAGGGGGCCGTGACATGCTGGGGAGGGAACTTGACCCCCCTCCTGGGTTCTGTGGGCTGGACTTTCATGGGCTGGCTACACTGAGTGGCTATGTCCTGGCTGTAGGCCTTGATACAGATACTGTACCTAAACAACAATAAAGTCAAACATTTGTACTCACTTACATTTCAATGCTTTAACACTTTAAACATCTCTATCTAACTGTGGTATATCATTTTGTGTCAATAATTAAACCTATGCAATTAACATTGTATGTGTCATAAGTAAAGTTACGTTTCAATCATCATTAAAAGCTTTTACCAGATCACTTTGGAGAAATTTGAGAACCCAGCTTGTTGAATTGTATGCATATACAGTCATTAATTACAAATACCAATGGCAGATTTCTAAATTTTCTGTTAACCCAGGAGAATTTCTCTCGCCAATGGGCATAGCATTAACATTTTTATTATGATGACTGCCATACAATGTATGCAAAAAAAAAAAACAAAAAAAAACACAATCACAAAACTTGATTAATTATTACATCTAATTTTCTTGATCAATTCAGCATATGAAAATTCCTGACCAGAGAAAGAGTGACATGAATTGTACACATAAGATGATTTGTTCCTGAATATTTAGATTACTTATTTACACTGTACAGATGCATATTAATCTTACCACTTGTGACTTTGTAGGTTCTGTATGGTGTAGGATAGTGAGGTACGACTGACTGTCACCGAGTTCATCCTGCCCATGTCACCTGTTTTTAGGTCTCTTATTTCTCTGTATTCGATCACAAACTTGTCAATGATATCCATCATCTTATGAACCTACAATGTAATGTTTATGTCATTTTATGACAAGAGTTTAAAATTTCTAAATAGAAATTTTTTAATTTATACTTGTGATATGGGCCTATCATTTAAGTTTCAACCCATGAAAACTCCAATGGAATCTAAGTGTGACAGGCCACATAGCATCTCAGTGCATTTTTCTATAAAATTATATTTCAACCACTGATTGCCACTCATCCACCTTTTCTCCACTATTATATGAATGGGTACCTACCTTCCACCTGACTTCCACAGCAGCTGGAAGTGGTTCCACTGCAGTGAGTTCCACCACGATGCCCTGCAGACTATTCTCAATCTGTTTCCTGGTCAACTGGGTATTCCGAGATTTGTCTGATACAGCTGAAAAACACAAATAATATCATTTATATGGTGTGGAATTGCTTAACTTCAGAATAATGTGTCAAATGAAAGAAAACCTGGGTATTTACTGGTTGTGCTGGACATAAAATGTTTTAATTCCTAAAGGTAGTTTTCTACTTACTTCGTGTGCTTACAGGATCCGACAGTTCACTTGGTACCCCGACTCCATGAGAATTTCTGGCTCGCACCAGGAATACATAGGTTGTATCTGGTTTTAGGTTAGTCACAGTGTAAGATGTAGGCTGGACAGAAGTTGTTGTAGGTGGAACAGAATCGGATGCCACAACCCAGCCCTGAAAAGATGAAAAAAGTATTCAATGTAAAATCACACCATTATCATCCCTGTAGCTTTCAAAACACAACCTTATTTAATCTGAAGACTTCTAGATTTTACCTCTGAGGTTTCATGACTGAAGTATTCTACAATGTAGGCATAAACAGGCGAGTCTCCATGGTTACTGTTAGGTTGCCATGACAGTTTGATGGAATTGGACAGGACCTCTACGACAGTTGGTTTGGATGGTGGACCAGGAAAGGTCTTCACATCCTGGGTACGATGGAATGTCACATTCTTGTTAGACTCTGAAAATGAGCAAGAATTGTCATATCTTTCTGTTTTATTACAAATATATGAAATTTTCATATGATGTGATCTGTTTTTTTCCTTACTTTTGACTTATGTTTATGGTTTTTATTTTATTTACCCTTTACTGGACCTCTATACTTTTGTTACCTTATTGAACCTCAGTTAAGTTTTGCAGGTATTGGTCAGTTACGACCTATTGTATTTTGGGGTATTTAAATCGCTGCAGTAATGTGGCTGACTGTGATGTTTCCCCAGTCTCACTTGATGCCTTACATGTGTAATTCCCTGAATCTGACTCTTGAAGATCTGTAAAAAAGGATAACCATTTTTCTTTCTATCATCAATTCAATAAACTATAAAATGGTGTACATTTCTTATGCTTTTTGTCAAAAGGAAAATCAAGGAAAAGGAAATGCTTTTCAATTTACCCTGGATTTTTTGTCTAAATCATAACCTGCTTCTATTGTTACCTGAAATCTGAAGAGTCCCAGAGCTGAGAGCAATGATTCTGGAATTAGCAGTGATTGGTCTACCATCCTTTAGCCACCATATTTTGGGCTTTGGGTCTCCATACGCCTCACAGTGGAGGAACCCCACTTCTCCTGTGGGTAAATTCTGGCTCTGGGGGCCAATTCTTATGATAGGGGGTGGCCTTGTGTCATTTACTGAAAACAGAAGTGGGTCAGATTCTGAAAACAGAAGTTCACAAGTACAGAGAAAACCCAAACCATTTATCAAGTTTTTTTCTTTATTTGATCAAATTCTAATTTTATTTTTCTCAGTTTTATTAGCCTGCAAGTCTTTTTTTATTTTTGCTTGTACTTATCCATTACCTTTGACATCGAGCCTTGCCGAAGCTTTGGCCGACCCAAGTCCATTGATGGCCTCACACTCGTACTGACCAGTGTCCCCGAGTTGTACTCGCTCGATTCTCAAAGTACCGTCTGAGGCCACTGAAAATCTTCCTGATGCAGTGTTTTGGAATAATAGAGTCTAGAAATTGAAAAAAAGAAATTCTCTTGAATTTTTCTGCATATAAATAATTCATTCTTTATTCCCTGTTCTCGCATAAAGAAGTTTTTCTTTATTCCCAATTCTCATATACGGATTACATAAAGTCCCTATTCTAAGTAGCACCGTTATTTCAATTAGCGGATCACTGTTTTCAGATAATGAAAAGCCTATTAAACCTTTTTACTAAATGCAATAGCATGCAATAAATATAAAGTAAATTACATCAAAAATTAATTGCGAAAGATTTTAGGTGCAAGATTTCTCAATTCTGACTCGGTAGACCCTTTTATTCACGACTTCAAATGAATAACAAAACCCAGGATGAGTGAGTCACTAATATGGCCATCTATAAAATAGAAAATCAATTTGGTGAACAGTTTTTATCGTGATATTGCAAGTGATCCCTTCTGCCACTACAGAAAACAAAACTGTTGGTTGTGGTCTCTAATCAGACAAAACTATAGCTCTTACTGCCAAAAAGAGGCTGACCCTTGAACAAGAGGTCAACTAATCACAAACTGACCAACAAGTGTGGACCCATTTTTCATGGACACAGAATTAGATGCCATTAATCATATTTTATACAAGATCCAATTATATTCCACTGCAATCATAGAAATCCATAATTCTAAGGATAAAAACATAATTTTTTTGAGAAAATTTGCATAAAACCTTAAATTCCTAATGCACTGCTGTTATCCGCAAAAGAATGGATTGAAAATCATTTGTAAAAATCATATTATCTACCACAATTAAATTCCGATTCTTTTATTCAATACAGAATAGCATTCATGAATGATTAAGCTGGCCAGAAATACACTTATGCAAAATGCCGCTATTAACAACCCTGTAAAAGGATCGGATCAGTGTTCAAATAACAAACCTGAAAAAGTTAATGACAAAATTATGAACTATGGGGAGGTATACTATTCTTTTCATATGAAATATTTAATCTCCTTTTTAACTCGGCTCCAATTGCGAGTGCTTATAGGATTCCTGTCTAATGGATTGATGGCTTACCACTGCGGAGGGCCAGAATTCCTACGCTCAGAACAATATCATAATCTCTTGTCTTCAGAAAGAGCCGGACTATGAAGAAAAGCCCAAATCTAATGCAATTTATCAATCATGTCAATGCACTTAATGATTCTTGGCTGAAATATGAATTTTTTATTGCCTAGGTCAAAAAGACAGTGATGAAATGGCAGGGATGTGAATTTTGTATGACTCTAACAAGAAGCTAAAGAATTAGATTTTTTTTCTACCTTGACAAATACCCTTTAACACGTACAACCTCCAAACTGTAATAACATGTACATCTAAAAATCTGTTGCCTTTAACTTGGGGGATTTTCAACATCAATTTGGTAGCCACTGAGCTCACATTTGTATTCCATCCCTAACATTAAGACCTATACATTAATGATTGCAAGAGAATGCCCATCACGTTAACAGTAAAGCCACTTGATGCAAGAGCACCGACTGTAGAAAAGCCTATCTGATGTAGCTTTTTCATTGATTGGCAAAATTGATAAAGGGCTTTCCGATTCTCTTGAGCCATTGACTTAAGGTTAAATCCTTAACTGTCAAGGCCATGGAAATTAAACTACTGTTCTAGAATTGCAATTTGTTCAAAGAGATATAGAGAAAAACACCATAAAGACTCTTGAAAGCTTGAATTACTTTGAATGGTATGAAGGCTGCAACCTTGCTGAATCATATATCAATGTCAATAATGACAACAATGGTACCATTTTCCCTGTAATGATGTTTTTCCATCTTCTCAAAACCACCATAAAATTCATACCCATCTATTGCATTAGCATTAAACTCGACTTTCCAAGTTCTCTGTCCTCAAAATGACCGCCTATACAATCCAACAAATACCTCGTACTTCAGACTACATGGTATAAAACCAAGAAATTAATGCAAATTGGGATCTATCCACTCAATAGCCAGACAATAATGAATAAATGTGTTTTAAGTGCAAGAAGCACTCCGCAATCATTGCGCATTATAGGAAACCTAACAGTACTCTAGTCTGCAGCGATGCTGGAGGGAGATATATAGTTACCTTTTCCCCCGAGGGCTTGTTGGACGTTTTGCTCCATATAATGGTGGGTTGTGGGATGCCGGTGACGGAACAGTGCATGGTGACGGTGCGCCGTACGCCCACCACCTGGTCGTGGGGTCTCACGTCAAACGATGGCATATCTGTAAAACAGAGAAATATCCATTTCAATATCAGATCTCACCTACTAAACAACATGCTATTAAGTACACGGTAGTCATTTGATGATATTACAAATTTTAAAACTGATACACATACGGTGATACCATATAAACATTCTGAAATGATTACCAGTATAACAACATTTCTACATGTTTTAAACATCTTGCTTGAAAGATCATTTCTTGAGTTATTGAGTACATGTATATGAATAGGGTCAGGGCCAATGAAATAGGGTAAAGAACCGAAACTTGAAAGTTTCAAGATATCTATCTTTTTTTTTTATTTTTGATATGAAAATCATATCTAGACAATATCAAGTCTAAATCAACAGTCTGATTTATTGTATAAAAAATACTACATAAATTTCACATTTGATACTCAAAGTTTAGGTACAATGTAATATAATTTATATGATTTGGGTCATAATCTGTGAAAATATATGTTTACTGTCTTTTAAATACTGATTAAAAATGATAAAAGTGTTCAGAACGTCTAGAACAAGAAATATAATGCTCAGTCAAAGTTCTTATCAATTCCTTCATTCATCTTTAGCGAATTATTAACTTCTACAAGTCTCTCTTTGGAACACAATCGCAATAGATAATCTTGCCTTTTGCTGAAAATGCTGACATCATAAACTTTTACATAATCATTGACCAGATAAAAACCGATATTGCCTAGACAAATCACAACAGTGTAACACTCAGTATAACAAATCCACCACGGGAATCTTCTATAAATAAAACTCAAGATTTGCTTCTCAAGGAAGTCCCCTATTATGTCTAATACACATCATTTTTCATGTGCAGCAAAGAAAAATGATGCATGTCACTAAGTGCTATATATCTGAACTAAATTCCTCAGGAAAAGTTTGACAAAATCCAGGCATATTTGAGTCCATTACTTTTTTTCATTTGAATGATGTTGATTCTAGATAGTTTATTTCATCAGAAAGGCACTCAAACTTAAAACAAATTCTATCCAGAAATATTTTTGAAAAAGGGAGGTAATTAATATAAAAATTTTGTCTTTGGCAAAACTCTTGACATTGCAATGTGTAACAGTTCTATATCTGATGACAATGTTCAATACTGAAAACATGACCATTGGAATGAATCCATTTATTTATAGTTTTGCCTCCCCCTATAACTTACACTGGACAGTGAGTCTAGCCACCGCCTCAGCTGTTCCTACAGAATTAGATGCCATACACACATAGAGCCCAGCATCTTCTGCCTCAGCCTTTTCTATTCTGAGGGTGTTGTCATTGAGAACCCTGACCCTCCCAAACTTCAGGGCCCCATTTTCCTTCCTCCATTCCACTGCTATAGGCTGATCCCCCACCACCTCACAGGGAAAATGCACTGCCTTTCCTTCCATGGTGATCTGGTCCACTGGAGCTTTCCGGAAACTAGGTTTCTCTGTGAATTAAATTTGAATTATAATACTGCTTTTGTCATATATGCTTTTTCATGCTTATCAACTAATTTTAAGTAATCATTCAAACTTTACATTATTTCAATTCACCTTCAATACTTTTTTTTATTCAAAACTCTACTTGCAATATTAAATTTCAAGTTTATACAATGATCAAAACATTAAAAAAGAACTGATTTGCAAACAATATGTTACCCAAAACTGTAAGTCTGGCTGGGGCACTTTCTTTTTCTCCGGCTGTATTTGTGGCGATACATTTGTAATTATCGGCATCATTTAACGTGACTTGAGAGATGATCAGGTCTCCGTTTTCCAGAATTTGGATCCTATTGCTGTCTGTCAGGAACTTCCTCCCTTTCATCCACAGGACTTTAGGTTCTGGTTCTCCTCGTGGGGGGCGGCAGCTAAAAATAGCCTTGTCACCGATGGACACGCTCTGATTGGATGGCGACTGGAGGAAATCGTCTCTTAGAACTACAAGAAACAGAAATTTATTGTAAGAGATTCCAACATGACTTTGACATCTTTTTATTTTATTCGACAAAAACAGCTTCATCTCTATTCTAAATTTACGGTGTTTAAAAGAAGCACTTTGGAAAAACTATAGATTGTGTTTCTGGAATTTTTGCTATTTAAGGTCAAGATCTAGTAAATGAAAGGTGCCTACAGATTTATCAGACTTGAGAAATAAATTCCTTTATTGATGCTTTACAACTTTAGCTTAGTCAAATAAGGTGTTTCGGGGCATAATTTGTAGATAAAAAAAGATGAAAAACTGTATTTTAAAATGTCATTTTCAATGAAAAATTAAGAAAACCAATCATGAATATAGGAGTTTTTCTCATATTCGACAAAGGAAATGTATATAGATTGCCTACAGTATCTCAGAAAACGATAATTATATGTTCATGGCCTCTTCTTTAAATCAATATCAAATTTAATATAGGTATCCAGTTTACTTTTCATATGATTTCAACTTGAATGTCATGAAAATACCCTATTTTCTACATAATTCTGCTAAAGCCGTAAAGTACGGGAAAAAGAAAGTTGAAATTGATTATGACGTCACAATGGATCTAGCACCAAAAAGTAGTTTCAAGTTATTTACTAGATCTTGACCTTAAAGAGAGGTTCATTTGAGAGCAGATGATCAATTTTTCCCATGTCTACCTATTCAGTTCATACAACAGACAATGTTGGAATTTCATGAGACATGAAAATCACAAGCATCTCAAATTTTTAACACAAAAAAGTTTTTAAAGCAGCATCTTGATATCCTTCTGTTGTCTAAGATATCAATATGAAACAATTATTGAAAATGATCTTTATAGATGTGCACCTGTTGTGTCATGATAAGATATTCAAATCATTTCACATGCAGCTGGGAAAATAAATCTGCAGCACATCGGGAAAAATGATAAAACAACTTAAGTCAGAGACTGGCATATCATCATTCCTTTGCAAAGCCCCTTTTGATGCAGTGGTTTGAATTTATTGAGAATTTTTATTACCTCAATCTTTTATACAAAAGAAAAACTACAAAACATTTTGACACTCCATAAAATTACAAACTTTTCCCATCAAAAACTTATAAAACTTCATGCCCTAGTCTCAATTTCCATAACAAGCAGCCAAACTTTAGAATTCTTCTCACCCCCATAAAGGTATAATTTCCAATAAATTGGACAATGAAACGATATCATTATGCAACTGCTGGCTACAAGAGACGACTTCAATGTTATCTGTCCTTCTATCTACATAACTGACTGCATGTTCTCTTTCATCCTGCGTAGCACACTCCGACAAATCCCATCTATTTTTCGCCTATTTATGGAAATACCATTAAATTGCTCTCAAACCATTTAAATTCATTTAAATCGAAAAAGTGAAAAGGGGTGGCTTTGAAAGAGATACAGCATATTTATTCGACAACGCTTGTGGATATGAATTTTCAAAACCTAATCTATCAAAACGTGTACTGTGAGACAGCCATTTTTTTTTCACTTTGGTTGAAAATATTATCACTTCACAAATACCTTCCATGCATGTACAAATAAAACAATGATAAAGTAATTTCTTTTTATTTCTTTTTTGCAGCTTAGCCTGGGAGATTCGGGCCTTTACCATCTGCATGCGTATCAGCATAAAAGAAAACAAGGTGCTTTGAAGCCATTACAAAAACAAGTTTTATCACTAAAAGCCAGTAGCCATTTATTTTTAACTGGATAAGTGGGTCATGAATCTCCATCGTGCATTTACAAATGTCACTTTTTACTGCTAATCCGCTAATTTTGCTCACATCAATTTGAAACTTTTTTCTAAATATATCGGAAACTCCCAAACATGTTGCAGATAGCTAACAATTAACAACATAACATTTGCCAAGCTTTTTTATCATTGAAGGCTGTTAAAAATTAATAAACAACATTGAAGTTTTCAGTTTTTTATCCCCTCCCCCCAAATTATTATTATTTTTTTTTTACAATCTACTCATCATGAGTACTCTCCCTCTGTAAAAACTACACTCCCCACCCCTGAAAAATGCTATTTTATTACTTCATGTTTTCAAACCTTCCTTACCCGCAATTTTGAGGGTGGCATTTCTAGAGATGGCGCTCCCCAGCCTGTTGGTAGCATTGCAGTAGTACACGCCGGCATCGGACTTGTCTTTCTGGTGAATGACCCTCAGAAAGAAGAGCTTGCCCCCCTCAATCAGCATCTTTTGTGAGAAGGGGTCTTCCACAATGGTAGCCACTTTTTCCCCATTGTGGTACCAAGTGATGGTGGGTGGGGGGTTGCCGTCCGCTTGACAGTTCAAAGTGGCGGGGTTGTCCTTCGATAAGTAACCATTTTGAGGGTGTTCCGATATTCGTGGGTAAGAGTTTTGGTCATTTGGCGAGGCACCTAGAAAAGACAATATAATCTCTATAATTGTTAAATGTGCATTGCATACTACATCATTTTCTTTAATTCAAAGTTCTATCTCAATATGTTTCAAAGAACACACTTTTTAAAACCACATTCAGATCATAAATACAAATAATCTCTAGTATTTGGTACAGTATTTGAGTTAAATCGATATGAAAGCATGGTTATTTAGCCATACTTAAGCGCGGAGATTTATACAATTTTCCGTTGGCACCTAGAGCAACTCTCACCCAGTGCACATCAAGCTTTTACATTAAGACACATAATGAAGATCTAGACACAATCAGGATCAATTCTGTGCATTAGCAATCTTGCAGAAATTACTGGGATTAGAACCTTGTCAAAGCGGCACCTACCAGTCTCACCATAGAAGTGATAAAATGCCTGGGAGGAGAGAAAAAATTTACATGCACTCCAGCTTCAAATGAATGGCTATTAGGTTTTTTTTTTTTATTCCAAACACTAAATTGATATGTCCATGAGCCAAACCTAATCTTCCTCTGAAAACAAAATCTATGGAATCCATTTGTAGGTTTTCTCTGAACTTGTGGCATGGCATCACCATATTTCAGCCATTTAAATGAGATAGGAAGGACACTAATATGGATCTATGGTATAATTACAAGCCCTGTGGTCATGTTGCTGGACTTTAAAACAATTTTCTTCCTCCCATCGACCACAATACAACCCCCTCCCTGACCCATTAATACACCAACCCCATCTATCTTGATGGACTTGTTGTCAAAGTGACAAATTTGGTTTGGAAAGCTTTATATTAAGGTAAGTCACTCCTGAAATTTGTTATATCAAGGATTTTTTGAGAAGTATATTTTGGACAAGTACTCATAAAGTGTAACTTCGCAAAGAAAATAGGGGGTCAGTGTGCATCCTACTGATCTACGGTACATTTAAGTTGACCTTTTTGCACTTAAATTTCATTTCTTTGGTCAATTACTTTAACCCTTATTATATTTGATTAGATGTAAGCAAATATAATCTTATTTTACGTAAAATAGTTTGAATAATATTTATCAATGAACAAATCTTGCAAATTAATGCGCGTAAATTATTGTGTGACCTTATTGCACTAAAAAATAACATATTTGGGGTATTAAAAAACTTAATAGGCAATAAAAATTTTTCTTATATCAAACTTTTTACGAATTGGGTGCTGATCAGTCACAAGTATCGACAAAAATAAAAAGAAAAAGGTGGGGTCTGATGTTAATTTTGACCCATTAAAATATGTGATTTTCACCAACCCTTCTTTAATATATTTTCATTTTTTGGAAAAGTTTGTTGAGGGAAGGTGTAAAACTATATTAAATATTTTTAGCAATATCAAAACGGAAAATATTCTCTGAGCAAAAGTGTGAGGCTAAATTTCCATTATTTAATTTTGAAATGTTGTTCCACCAAAAGAAATAGTCAATAAATCTTGCTTCTTTGTAGATTTTTGAGTGACAAATTTGGTTTGGAAAGCTTTATATTAAGATCAAAAGCTTGCAATGCTGGGTAGTATAGAAACAATATTTACTATCCATAATACATCTGTAACATCTGGTGTGATTGGTGCCAGCAGAACTAAATAAAACTTTATGACCAATTAAAATCATGAACTCACTGCTGTAAAGATAGTGTGTCATAGGAAGGTGCTTATTACTGTGTTAATAAATTAACCATAGGAAGAAAATGGCCGGGTCTGCTTCATGTCTTCCCAATATTTCTGACACATCATATCAAACTGAAGTCCCTCCAAAATACAGCACCCCCTGAATAAGCCTTTGAAACCAGTTTTAACATGTTTCTACTCTTTAACTCATTCATCATAAACTATATAGGTAGAAGTGCAGAGATTTTCTTTTTCCCCCTTTGATGCTAGATCTCCTGCTTCTTTAGGTAAATACCCAATAGCGAGATTCAATATTGTCAAATGCAATTCACCTTTTTCTCGACCTCTTTTAACTCTATCCTGATTAATTATTGATTGAATACAGAGTAATCTGCATTAGAAAGCCATGACCAGTTGTTCCAAATGTGAATCATCTGTCAGCTTGAAGAGCCAATCTAAAGGGAAACTGCATGACATAATGGACAATACCCATTAGGCTCTTATGGTGGGACAAATCCCTTTGAACATGGACTGGCCTGGGACACTTGGGAGCACAACAACATCTGATGACCTCTTGTTCCATCATTTGGTCACTTTGACTGTTTTAACAAGGGACACTTCAGAACCAGAGCAAACTCTGCAGTTTTCTTCGTTCTTCTTCCCCAAACAATCAATACCTATTGAAATATTCCTATAATTTCCTCATTACTCCAGGATGTCCAACAAGACAGAGATCAATAAAAGCGAACTATTGATACAATATTCTGCTTTTTTCCCCCAGAAAGCTAGTCCAACCCAAACAGGTTTATGCTCTTAGAGATGAGACAAGATGGCCAAATACAATGATTTCGAAAAATGTTTATTTATGGCATTGCTGAGTGGCAAAGATAAGGGAAAGTTTGTTTTATAGATTCTGCTTGTGTGCACTCATCAGATGGACTCTTAGATTAGTCCTGGACTTGTGAATGCTGCCTCGGCTTGGAAAGGAAGAGACAGATGGATTAATTGCAGAGGCCAAATAAGATTCTCTTTACAATTTGCATATTCTGTAGAAATTATCTCCATTTCATTACTAGGTCATTAAGACCCTCCTTTGAAGTGGGATTGCAAAGTGTCAACCCAATTTTTAATTTTATTTCTTTTGTCATTTGTCATTTCACATTATCAATTCATTATAGACTCATACAAACCTACAGATATTTAGAAAAACTGAGTAATGTACTGCAGACTAAAGAAGACACATGGCAAAATGGATGTAAAACTGCTATCATAGATGACTATGACTGAGTAAATATGTTTTTCTAGCAGACACTTGGCTGCATGGAGAAATTAATGCATTTATACATTCATTGACACAGCAGTCTTTATCAGATTCAGCTTGACCAATGTTTATAATTATGTGTATGTACATAGACTGATTGTTTATGTAGAGGGTCTGCAGGTTATTTGGGCAGAACAAGCCCTGTCCTATATCAATATTTATTTTCATAGACCCATAGCTAGAGAGTTATAGCCCTGCCCTTGTTGTATGTATAATTGATGGCTATCTGTTCCACTAAATCTGGGGCAATTTTACCAAGGAAATGCTTTAACATTCATCAAAAGGATATTACAGATTTCCTCAATTTGCAGCTCAGTTAAGCAGCAGACCAGGTACAATAGGGTATCAATGTCCACACAATGGACAGATCCCTATCAGCTAAAAGGTTATCACCTTGGCTGAGGTTTATCTCTCATTATACTACCATTAGCTGGACACTATAGATACCCTTTTCAACCTCTCATTTTTACGACATCTAAACAAGAATATTAAATGAACATAAACATCCAAATTACACTAGGGGAAAACACTTGTGTGCAGAGCAGAAGGGCAGGGAAGTCATTGCCAACTCTGGTATACATCAAGCGAGGGTCACCCAGGTCTTGACACCAAGATTCTTTGCTTGTTGCCAGTCACCTTAGGTGATGATGAGCAGGCATAAACAAACAATTAGAGCCCATCCAATCTTTATATGAAATGCAAAAGGTGCCAAACATCACTTTTGAGGGCCATCTCCTTCCTGCCAATTTTCTGGCCCTCCTGGTGAGGCGGGCAGTCTGTCTGCCCCTCCAGCTGTCCAGGGGGGCAGTGACAAAGACTTCCCTTGACGATTATCATGTCTCCAGTGTGTGTATATAGGTCTACATCTAAATATTTACAAGATTGTTATCGTTCCAGAAGTGGTTGGATGTAAAAGATAGGAATTGTTTGCAAATGCTATTTAGTCAACACTGCAGGAATACTATCACAAAGTTAAAACATGATGGAACTGCTGTGAACTAGAACAAAGATCTAGATGGAGAGAAAAATAAACCTCTTTAACACTAATACCCAAGTTGCTACGCTCTTTGCTTTTATCAGTCACATCTTTATCTCATAATGAACAAGCTCTTTTTGCCAGTAATACCCAAGTTTGTGTCTTTGTATGCTATCAAATCACACCAATGTAATAAATCATAATTTTTTCTCTTGGTCAAATTCCCCCCAGGCAGCCAATATGCCAGTGGTCATGTTATAGGGAGGTTTGCTGACAAACTTGTCTGGGGTTATCATTGGGCTCAGTCTGTAGTTACAGACCTAATGAATCATATATCTGTCAGCCAAGTCAGGAAGTCCCCCCATTCCTTAGAGGTGTATTGTCCATATCAAATTTTGACAAATTTGAGTGTGAAGAAAATTATCTCTGGACATTCAGTCCAATTAGTCCTGACATGTTCTGTGCAGCGCCAGCCTCATATATCAATCACTGATGGGTCATTAGGCCCTGTTGGTTCCAATTAACCATGCAGAGTCCAATTTTTCATACATGTAAATCATCATTCATGTCATCATCTTGAAATTAAAGGATCCAATGTTCAATGCCTTAACTTAACAAAAATTGATTTAAAAATTGGTCATATTCAAACAATTTTTTTTTTCAAAAAGGTTACCAACTGTAATCTTGGGAACCTTCTTGTTTCATTCAGGAAGATATCCCCCTCTCCCTTATTGCATCTGACAGTAATCAAATTAAAAATCCTTTTAGCAACAAAATTTTCACACATTAAATTGCTGGAAACTGATTAAGGCTTCTGTTAACTTTTTTTGTGTTTTCTTCCTAAGAAAAAAAAACAACTTGCAATGTTGAAGAAAATTGAATTCAGGAGTCGCCAGTGTTTGGCAACAAGCTAGGTGTTATCTGACTAGAAATGCGGTAATTGCTCCCCCGAATGATGTATTGAGTATTGATGCCTCTCTATACTGATGATGGAGGAGAGAGATTACAGTCCCAATATTGAGATGTAACAATCGGCTGGGTTTCCAACCAAGATGTCTGCTGCAGGA